ATCAAGATCATTAATAGGAGGAGTGAAGAGTTCTAGCTTTGCTCCTCAGAGTCATGCTAAGAGGAGCCATAGGGGTTTTTTTTCCTCTACCCTTCATGAAGGATAAAGCATTCTCTTTGAACTGCGTGAATTTTCCCTCAAGAGCAGCTATGGGGCTTTTATTCAGAAGCCTTTCCCCTTCCCCATCTGAGTGAATACACACCGGAGTGCCCGGGCTGTTGTTCTCAACCACAGTAGATAGGAGAGCTAATGAATCAATGGTGGATGTGTGTTCGTTGGAAGCTACTGCCACCTTGACCATAGTGGAGGGGGGACATGGATGCTTGGACAAGGGGGCTGCATCTTGTACGAAGTGCATGTCCCCAACCAAACGATTTGAGCTAGGTGCCTCACATGGACTTGGGGACCTTGATCTGCTAGATACCAAGGGTTTCAAAGAAGTGGGGACAGTAGTATATGGAAGTGTAGTAGGTTGGCTGTCCTTCGTGTTTGGCAATATGGAGCAAGTGGCCACCCATGTTGGCTTTTTGTTGGTTGTCCTTTTGTGACTTGTTCTTTCCTTCTTACTCTGAACCCTGATCCAATCCTGACTGGATTTTGGATGGCTCTTGGTGGACTGAAGCCTCTCATTGGATGTCCCGCCGGCGAGGACTTTTCCGGCGGGCTTTGAGATTGGTTTGCAGAAGTGACCCATCCGCTTACAGCAATTGCAGTATAAGGGGAGGTCATACAGAAGCTCCACCGTTCTTTCCCAAGTGCTTGTTCGAATCAGGAAAGAAGAAAGTTTGGGTTTAGAAACATCCAACTCCAAAAGGATCCTAGCCGTCTGGAAGTACCCACCACGAGCTGTGGTATCATCCATCTGGATTGGGGTTCCAAGTGCACTGACTATGGAGAATAAGGTGCTATGGTCAGAAAGGAAAAAAGGAAGCCTTTTGAATGTAACCCAAACCAGCGATATGGGGCTGTCATTCCTTTCATCTATACTTGGATCCCATTTGGAGAGATTGAGTGTGCAGCCATTCGTTTTCCAGGAATTTCTGGATAGTAAGCGAATGAATTCGCTACGCAAATTGAGATTGATGATAACCTGAGATTTGCTGATGGCAGTGATGCGAAAACCTCCTTTGAACCCTCCCTTCTTCAGTGATAACCCGATGTCTTCCGGAGAGAGAGCTCCATTGAAACTGGCTTTGATAGCATGAGGGAAAATCTCCCTTAATTTGGAGATGTCCTCATTAATAAGCTCAATCACCGGGTCTCCAAGTTTGGAACGCGAGACCTTGCCCAACTGCTGTGTGGCCTTAGTTTTGAAGAGATCTAAGAACAATTTCAGTGGCCTGCCGGTGGTCTTCGCCGGAAAATCCTCTCTCTCTCCTGCCATCATATATATATGGTGGCTTCAATATTGGTATATATATATATATATATATATATATATATATATATATATATATATATATATATATATATATATATATATATATATATATATATATATATTTGTAAATCAAGATTAAGGGGCTGTTTGGCAACTTCTGAATAGGTAAGTGCTGAACCAGTAAGAGGTTCGAACCATTAAGTGCTGAACCAGTAAGAGGTCTGAACCATTAAGAGCTAGTATATTGCTTAACTATTCAGAGGCAAATGTCTGATCAATTCAGATAAGAGGTCTTAACTATTCAGACTCTGTATAATACTTAACCATTCAGAGGCAAATCTCTTAACCATTCAAACATCTGAACCATTAAGAGGCTGAAACAAACAGTCTGAACCATTAAGTGCTGAACCATTCAGACATCTGAACTATTAAGAGGCTGAAACAAACAGCCCCTAAAAAAACATAGAAATGGTAAGTAACACCAAAAAGGTGTGTACTAAAATAAAATGTTGAAATGGTAAGTAACACCAAAAACGTAATTAATATATATTTACAAATTAAGATATAACGTGTGTATAAAAACGTAATTAATAACATATTAAATTTATGATACGATGTTATAAAAACATTTATTAACATGATACCGTATTTCATTTTAACTTCGTATGTATTTTAAATAAAATAATTACCGTGTACACGGTTTTGGTAAGAATGAATAATAAATGTTGTAACGCCCTGGAAATCAGTCTAGAAGTTATTCGATAATTAAATAAATAAAAATTGTTTATTTACGATAAACCATTATTTTTAAGAATTTAAAAGATACGGAGTATTTTAGAGATTCTGATCGTCTCAATATAACGGTACTAATCTGATTATATTTGTAAATATTTAAATTAAAATATAGATCAGCACTAATTAATCGAAAGAATTAAGACGGACCAGGTGGAACATATAAATATTTGTCAATTGATTACAAAAGTTATATCGTTGGGTAGAGATCGACGGATCGAATCCAACGACGCAAACAGATCTAAATTCGAAGCAAGTTTGCCCAAAAAGTGTGTTCTTACTCAAAGCTGTTTTAAATTAAGGGTACAAAACCCTAGGTATATAAAAAAGAGTTTCACTGTTCTCTTGGATCGAAACTGCCGCCGCCTCTCCCTTCTTCTTCCCCGATCGAGCTGTAGCGACGACGAACCGGCAAATTCCCTGGTGCGGTGACCGAGCGACGACCGGCTCCATTCTCTTCTCCTGCGATGACGATGGACGACGAGGAGGGATTCTGGCGCCGGCGAGCTGCGACGACCACCCAAAACATCCTCCGCTGCCTCATCCTCCGCTCTTCCTTGCCGATTTACAACCTCAACGGCGAGCAGCAGCACCATTGAGATTGGTCACGGGTGTGACCCCTGTCTTCTCCGGCGAGGTACAACAGCGGCGGCTGAACCAGCGGCGAGAATTGAGCCAGCGAAATCCGGCGAGGAATCTGGTGACGTGCCTTTGCACCGGAGATAATAGCGGCGACGGCGTCTGGGAAGCGGCTCCGACGAACTCCGGCGAGCAACGATGTTTGAATCTGGAAAACAACTCCGACGAACCGGGGTCGACAGCCGGTGACCTGTGGCAGTGATGTCAGCGTCCGAGCTCCGAATTGGTGATCATGATTCACCTGCGACGCCTCCTATCATCGACGCATCTGATTTGGGCAACGGGGTATGGTCCTTGTTCTAACGACATCGTTTGGGTGTAACGTGGTTGAATTGAATCGAACGAATCAAGGTGGGTACGTGGACATCTAACACTAGAATATGCATCTAGGTTTGAAATTTTGTTCATAATTGTTATCATGGTTGATCTGTGTGATTTATCTGTATAATTGTTGATTGTGTGCTGATTGATGAATTAATGTGCTTGATAATGTTTAGAATGTTACTCCCTCCGTCCGGAAATAAACTTCTTACTCTACCTTTTTTTCGTCCGAAAATAATCTTCTCATTCTACTATTTTATACCACTTTTTCCTAAATTACCCCCTCTTTTCTTTTTCTAGTGCCGTCTCTCACTCTCTCCCCTCTTCCACTTTTTCTTCTTTTTTCGTTCCTTTCTTTCTCCTCCTCTCTTCCTCCGTCATCTCATCCTCCTCTCCTCTCCTCCACTCAATTTTCTTCTTTTTTCCTCTTCTTCTTTCTCCTCCTCTCTCTTCCTTCGTCATCTCCTCTTCTTCACTTTTCCCCGTCATCTTTTCCCTTCTTTATCTCCTCTTATTTCTCTTATCTCTCTTCCAGATCCGAGCTTGGCAGCGATGGTGGCGGCAGCAATGGTGGCGACGACGATGGTAGGGGGCGGCGATGGTGAGGATGCGTCCGTGGTAAGCCTAGATCTGCAATCTTCTTCTAATCTCTTTCTAATTTCTTTCTCATAATTCTTTATTTCTTTGAGATCTAATGGTAGGGCTATGTTGGTGATGGTGAGAGTGGAGCGATTATGGTGGAGGGGGATGGTGGAGATGGTCGGAGAATGGATCGGTGGTGGAGCTGACGGCAATGGCTGGGCTGGCGGCGAGGAGGGGAGGGGCTACGGTGGAGGCTGTGGTGGGTTCTCAATGGTGGCAGGGCTGGGAAAGGAAGGGGAGGGTAATTTAGGCATTTCATGCCTTATTCAAGCCTCCACTAAAAATGAGGAAAAGTCAAAGTAGGAAGCTTATTCCCGGACAGAGGGAGTAATATGAACCAATTGGTGTTGTTGTTATGAGATTATTGTTGGTTGGATGTTGAAAAACGAAACAGGTGTAAATATGGAAATTGTTATGTCAGATGCCCGTCACACTCTGTTCATTGCTTTCGCCTCTGTCGGTAGCTGCAACCGTACGGTGCCTAGGTACCGGACGGACGGTAGTTGGCTACTGTGGTAGTCCTACTAGAAGGGCTCATTTGATTCAAATGGTACCCCTGGTACCGTAGGACCAGTACCCAGGTACTGTGAAGATGGTACTTGTACTGTAATAGGTACCGTCTGGTACCTGATGCTGAGTCTGTCGATCTGTGTTTTCATCAAGGATTGATTCTGAGACTCCATGTGAGCATGACGGTGATCGGTGAGAAGTGATTCTTCCGATAGGCCGCTGAGTGTGTTGTTCTATATATGGAAATATTTAAGTGGTTGTTATCACTTGAGAACTCTGTGAAAAATTGGCCACCCAGGATACCTAGGCAGAACTGAACTGAATTGGATAGTTTAATTACTAGTAGGATTGTTGTTAGGTTCGGACCTTGTGGAGCATGTTTGCATATCCAGTTGTCCAAGGTTCAAAACGTACATATGGGAGTCACTGTTCTACCTAAGGGATTCCTCGGTAAAGACTCCAACCCGCCCATTGATGATTTTCTTTGGGTTTTTTCGAGCATTAGCCTCGAGGGATCCGCTCGAGCGTCCGTAACTCTAGTCTGTTGATTTAAGTCTTAGCGTTGTAGAGACAGAATTAGCCCATTGAGAATAAATGAATTGGAATTATTGGATTCTTGCAACTGAAAATAAATGTTGATCATGCATGTTATATCTTGTATGTCGTATGATTGTTGCCAAGCATGTTGTGTGTATGATATCATGTGATAATTGTGAATTAGTGGATTCGCCTATGTGTATGTTTGAACTGTTAGATATTTCTCACTCAGCTTCATTGATGAGCGTGTAGCCCTATTTTCCCCTTTGTTACATGTAGGTGTTTGTGAAAGATTGATTTTGGAAGCCGTCCTGGAGAGCAGCATGACAGATGAGATGTACGGATGCAAGAATTTGATAAAGTTGATGTTTAATTAAATTATAAAGCTTTCACACTGTTTGTATAAACTCCGATATGTATTTAAATTACTCCCTCCGTCCCCCATAGATCTTCCCATTAGCTCTTTTTATTTGTCCCACATAGATCTTCTCATTACCTTTTTTAACATTTAAAATACCTCAACTACCTCCACTTATTTTATTTATTACACCTTTTCCACCTTATTTAATACACCTCACCCATTTTCATTAAGGGTATTTTGGTAAACTTTCACCTTTTTTTAACTCTCCTTAAAAATCGCAAAAAGTCAAAACGAGAAGATCTTAGGGGGACGGAGGGAGTATTTTAAATGGTTTGAGTTTAAATTAAGTGTTTTAATTTATTAGAAAATAATGTACGGAGTATGTTGATACCAATTTAGTAGCAACCCAATTTGTTAACCTATTTGTTCGGGTTACGCGGGTTGGGGTGTTACAAATGACTATAAGTACCTATGAAAAAAATACAATGATTTCCTTATTTTATTATGTGTGTAATAAAATAAAACTTTGAAATGGTAAGTAAAACAAAAAAGGTGTGTAATAAATTAAAATGTTGGAATGGTAAGTAACACTAAAAATGTAATGTATATTTATAAATTAAGATGTAACGTGTGTATAAAAATGGTAACTAAATATTTAAAACAACTAGCCGCTATAAGAAATAGAATAAGCAAAAAAACTTGCCTTATACAGTTATACACTTGTAATTAAAAAAAATCTAAAAAGGAAATTAGAATAAGCAAAAGCACTTTTCATAGTATAAATAGAGTCAATTGCAAACACTTTCACAACTGTATGTTGCAGTTTCAAAAGTAACAAGTTGCGTTGGCTTGAAGATTATGATATGCAACAAATACAATGTTCCCACAATAAGCAATTATTATTTTTGGAAAAGGGAGTGAAAAGGTGAGATATTTGAAGAGATGAGAAATCAAAAAGTAAAATAAAAAAAGAAAGCAATTCATATTAAATTTGGCACATGTCATCTGTAAGCTAAGGCTTGACACATGTTAGCTTCTAGAGATTTGACTCTGAAATATATATTCCTCCGAGGAAAAGTGGCCTCCCACAAGATACTTTTTCCGGTACCACCATGTTGGATCTGGATCAGAGGTACCAGGTCTGCTATCACCAGAGTCGTATTTAAGGATCACAAAATTGAGAGTAGTTGGAGTAGGCAAAGGAAAAGGCGTTTCTTCGTTGCTATTGCTTAATAGCTTGAAGCTGGGCATCGTAGGGTCGTGAATCACCATTAGCAGTGATTCAATTTCTCAAGAAGAGTGGATGATTGATCGGAACAGAGGACGGTACAGTGCGGCGATAGGGAAGTGGAATGGGCATGAGAGAGATAGTTGTGTAGATTAAGGGATGGGGATGGATGAAGTAGGGTGGGTTTGGGTGTCGGTTGGGTAAAATTTGGGTTAAAGGGTAGAAATGTCTTTTTTAGGGAGAAGAGATCATCTTTATGGGACATCAAAAAATGAAAAGAGAATATCTTTCAAGGTTGGGAGGGGGTAGAATTTAATTAAATTAAAAATAATTACTCCATTTGGAAGCATATTGTAGAATGGATCTAATCTTTGATCGCCCCTATTTGTTTCGTAATAAAGCGTAGACACGGTACAGTTTCGATTTCGGAATCGGTGGTTCCGGTACCGTCACCCCATGGAACCATTATCGACACCGGTGTAGACGATGCCAGCGCCGGTTCTGGCACCGTACCGGGCCGGTTTGTTCCGCCTTCAATTTTTTTGAAAAAAATATTTTTTACTCATACTTTATATATGTGTAAGTGTAAAATAAAGGGAAATTTATAACTTTTTATAAATTAGAATATCTAAAAATGTACTAGTTATTTATATAATGAAAAATGAATAGTAGAAAAACCGGCATGAATAAGACTTGTCTGGCTAGCATTTCGAGAGACGAGAACATGCGTTCATTATGCTTCGACCATTTGAGGATGTTGAAGGCCTTGTCGTTGTCTTCGTCATAATCACATTACACCCCTTGGTACATAGCAAGTTCGTGGTGTGAACTTGCACTTGTACCACCTGAACTCATCGAGGCAGAACTATGCTTCCTTTTTTTGCCAAGAGGCCACCGACTATCTTTTTAAAACCTGTTTTTGCATTGGGAGGCGGAGGATGTAGTATTTCTTCCGGTGCTTTACCGTAAATCGCTTGAATTTTTTAAAAAATGACTCTAAAAGATCAATATAATTATCTCTCTCTTTTGTACATTCTATTAAGTGATTAGAGGCCTCGAGGTCACCTCTCTCCTCGTCGGTAGGATCGCTGCTCTCGAGTGTTGGTTCTACCTCCTCCTCAACGCCCTTGAATATATTTTCAAGAGTTTGAAGATTGGCGTCATTCCTACCTCCTAAATATAGATCGAATTCTTGATCAATCCTAACATTGCCCATGAATTGATGGGGCATTGTAGGAAAGGAAGAGAAAGAGTGTCTTCTTTGAGAAGCACATGAGCTCGAACCTTCAGAGGTGGTGATGACTTTGCCTTTCTTAGAACCTCCTCGGTTCACAACGACCATATCTAAGCACTTTCTTTTAGATTCCTTCGACATTTTAATATATTTTTATATTCATAAGGAATATTATAATATTCTAAAATTATAATATTAATAATACAATATATTCAAATTTAGAAATATATTATAATATAAATATATAAGAATATAATATATTTATATTATATACTCCCTCTGTCCCAAAATATTTACAACATTTGTTTTTTCAGCAATCACGGGAACTTTTGTTTATTTCTACGTTTTCAATGGTTTTTTAGTAAAATAAAATATTCTTGACACCTCTTATTTCGAAAAACTTTTCATGTTGTGTTTTTTATATGTAAATTTTATTTTTTATTTCTATATCAATATGTAAATAAAATAAATTGAAAAAATTTGATATTTTATCTCAGAAATACAAGTGTGGCAAATATTTAGGTAGGGAGGGAGTAATATATATAAATACAAAATGTATAAAAGAGAGAATTTAATAAAGATTAAGAGAGTAAACTCCCAATATATGTAAAAAAATAAAGCATTCCTGACAGGGTAAGTCAGGGTTTTTTTTCCTGGTAGTGCATCACGAAGTTGCCTACTCCATTTATGTTTGAAAAAGGAATCGAAACGGATTCAGCTACTCCGTTCGCTGTGGATTTATTTCCCAAACGGAGTAGCCTACTCCGTTTGCATTTAAAAAGTCAGAGACAGAGTTGGCTACTTCGTTCCTCTTCAATTCGGAAGCCTATCTATCTCCCATCCACCCCATCCACTCATTGCAGATCCAAAAAAACGAAGTGAGAAACGGAGGACGCCGCATAGAGAGGAGAAAACGCAGGGACGTGGACGCCGAGGAGGAACGCCGGACGACGAAGAGCCCAAACCGGAGTCCGCTACTTCGTTTCGTGCGTAGGTATTTTTTTGGTTAAATTTGTTCCAATGATTTTGTAGTTGGTCTATACAAGATTTTGAATTTTGTGAAAATATTAAGAAATATATTGTTTAATTATATAAATTTGTTATTGTAAAATAATTATTTAGACATTGATTGTATGTATAAGTGGTTAGTTCATGATTTTTTTGGATTATAATTGTCTTGTTATATTTTTATTAATTGAATATATTCTTATGTTGTAATCTTTGAAGCAAATGGATGTACATCTGGGACCTATTTTACGAGATGTTTTAGTAATTGAAGCAGGAGACCATAGGTGTGATGCGGTTTGGGCCGATGAAGAATATGCTAAAAATGTATTAAAGTGTCACAGGACTTGTAGTAGTTTGTATACGAGGACTCTTATTGTTAATAGACAGGTTCGTGTGATTGAGTTTTTACGAGAATAAGGATTTTATGCGGTTGAGAAAGTTGGTGGCTTGCAGTTGGACTGGGCTTTGATCACCGCTCTAGTGGAGAGATGGAGACCCGAGACCCATTCATTCCATCTTCCCTTCGGAGAGGTTGGGATTACTTTGCAGGATGTAGAGGTTTTGCTTGGATTGCCAGTAGATGGCAATCCATTGGCGGGGATGACTGGCCGATCCAGAGATCAGTGGATTCAGATTTGTGAGGACATGATGGGATTTAGGCCTCAAACATCCGAAGTGAGTTTGAGCAGACGCTTCTCCAGATAGCGTCAAAAAAACAAGAAGCTTACAACTGGCTTATGGCTATTCCAAAACACATGTGGGCATTGTCCCATGATGAAGGTGGCTCACGCTATGGTATAACGACAACAAATTCGTCAGAAAGCTTCAATAATGTCCTTAAGGGATGTCGTTGTTTACCCGTGTTTGCCATTGTGAGGTTCACCTATGACAAATTGGTCAAGCTTTTTGCTTATAGGCGAACCAATGGATATTTGTGGCAACAATCTGGGTATAATTTTTCTATGAATGTTTGGAAAAATATCATGAACAATGAAGAAAATAGGCTTTATTGTCGTGTTGTGCAGCACCACGCACATCATGGGATATACTCTCTGGTTGTGGATGGGTACTTCAACAATGGTCACCGCAAGACATTTGCGGTGAATTTAAATGCACGAACATGTACCTTTGGAGAATGGGTAATATATCACATTCCGTGCATTCATGTTCACGCTGTCATCAGTGTAGTGTCCCTGTGGATCATTTGATTCCTAATGTTTTTTTAATCCAGTCCTACATTAACGCTTATTCGGGCATCCTAATGCCACTTCCCGATGAGGCCGACTGGCCTACTCCAGGATACGAGATTATGAGACCAACTGCACGAGTGAGGACACAAACCGGTCGACCTACAAGAACTCGCTACCTGAATAACATGGACTACCGATCATGGCGACGTCACAATGAACAATAACTATATCATGAATTTCAAATATGTCCAAGTTTATGTTTTATGATTTTCACAAAATAAATTAGTTATGGCATGTGTTTTGTAACCTTATTTTTATGGATAAATTTTATGTACTCTATCAATAAATTTGTTGTGATTTACTTCTTATTTTAATTTCGGTGTATGACGCATTATTTAAAGTCAATAAATAATTATTTTATTTATGAATTTTAATGTTAGTAGATTGTTTGTTTCATTATATGTAAATAATTTGTTGATTTTTATAATTTTTTTGTTTTTCAAATATAAGAAAAAAAAATTGATTTTAAAAAAAAATTAAAAAAAAGGGTAGACGGAGTTGGCTACTTCGTTTCCCTAATTAAATAATTGGAACGGAGTTGGCTACTCCGTTTCCTTAATTAAATAATTGGAACGGATTTGGCTACTCTGTTTATGGTGAATACTGCATGCTAAACGGAGTCTGTTACTCCGCTTTGATTTATTTGGGAAAGTACACATTAAAGTTACATATAGCGAAACACAAAACAAGTTATATGAGTTATATCCACATGTAGGGAAATCACCCAGATTAAGAAAGAGATTGATGACTAAATTAAAAAAATTAGGGGAGCATTTATAATATAAGGGGCTGTTTGTTTCAGCCTCTTAATGGTTCAGATGTCTGAATGGTTCAACACTTAATGGTTCACACTGTTTGTTTCAGCTTCTTAATGGTTCAGATGTCTGAATGGTTAAGAGATTTGCCTCTGAATGGTTAAGTATTATACAGAGTCTGAATGGTTAAGATCTCTTATCTGAATTGATCAGACATTTGCCTCTGAATAGTTAAGCAATATACTAGCTCTTAATGGTTCAGACCTTTTACTGGTTCAGCACTTAATGGTTCAGACCTCTTACTGGTTCAGCACTTACCTATTCAGAAGTTGCCAAACAGCCCGCAAGTAAAAATAACCCCACCGCCAAACTCCTACGCAAACCCTATTCCTTTCATTCCATCGTCCCTCTCATAGTCTCAGCCGCCATAGTTTTCACCGTAGGTTCTCAGTCGCGACCCTACGTCGCCTACGACGGATCGGAGGTAACTGAACCAATACTTTTGATCTCTGTCTCTAAATAATAATAATAATAATAATGATGATGATGATGATGATGATGATGATGATAATAATAATAATAATAATAATAATAATAATAATAAATGATTGAATTAGTGTGAATCTGAATGGGAAATACTGCTATTGATTAAAAATATGTGCTTGGCTTCTGTTCGTATGTAATTATTTGCTTTGTGAATTGTGACCCAAAAATTTCTTTATTGGGTTGACATCTTTTCTCTTCGAATTAACCATTGGATGATTAAGTGGTGCATGAGCTAGGGATCTGGATAGGAATGAATATGATAATGACTCACTGATTGTATGCCTTTTAATCTGTTTGTGGTGGAAAATGTTAGTATAAAATTGGATTTGTGATTCTTGATTTCTAATGTTGTCACCTTGTCTTGATTCACAGGCATTTGGAGGAAGTCCTACATCTATAATAGTTGTTGAGAAATTTAGAGCGTAGTCAAAATGGTAAGCAAGATGATGGTGTTTCAGTTGCTCAGTGTTCTTATGTATATTATGAAATCTTGAGCTTTTTTGCTCACAAGGTGGTTTTCTTAATATTTGCAGGTGAAGTTTACAGCTGAAGAGCTCTGTAAGATTATGGACTTCAAGCATAACATTCGTAATATGTCTGTTATTGCTCATGTTGATCATGGTGAGACAGATTTACTCTGGTTTGATGTGTTTTACATTTGTTGTGTTTTTGCTCATTTATTGTGTTTTTGCCATCGACATGGCCGGCTAGAAGTGATTCATATGCTTTCTGCTGCATTTATCTATGAACAGGCAAGTCAACTCTGACCGACTCCCTTGTGGCTGCTGCTGGTATTATTGCCCAGGAAGTTGCTGGTGATGTTAGGATGACAGATACCCGTGCAGATGAAGCTGAACGTGGTATTACCATCAAATCCACTGGTATCTCATTGTACTATGAAATGAAAGATCAGGACTTGAAGGGATACAAGGGAGAGAGGAATGGGAACGAGTACCTCATCAACCTTATTGATTCACCCGGGCACGTTGACTTCTCTTCTGAAGTTACAGCTGCGCTTCGTATCACAGACGGTGCACTTGTCGTTGTTGATTGTATTGAAGGCGTGTGTTGCAAACTGAAACTGTCCTCCGTCAGGCCCTTGGCGAGAGGATTCGACCTGTCCTAACTGTGAACAAGATGGATAGGTGTTTCCTTGAGCTCCAGGTTGATGGTGAAGAGGCTTACCAGACATTCCAAAGGGTTATTGAGAACGCCAATGTCATCATGGCTACATATGAAGACCCCCTCCTCGGTGATGTCCAAGTTTACCCAGAGAAAGGTACGGTTGCTTTCTCTGCTGGGTTACATGGCTGGGCTTTTACTCTTGGGACCTTTGCTAAGCTGTATGCCTCCTCATATGGTTGGGATGAGGCTAAGATGATGGAGAGACTGTGGGGAGAAAACTTCTATGACCCTGCTGCAGCCAAAAAGTGGACCAAGAAACACACAGGTTCTCCCACTTGCAAGCGTGGGTTTGTTCATTTATGTTACGATCCTATTCAGAAGATCATCAACCTGTGCATGAATGATCAGAAAGATAAGCTGTGGCCGATATTACAAAAGCTTGGAGTCACCATGAAGTCTGACGAGAAGGAATTGACGGGCAAGGCTTTGATGAAGCATGTTATGCAGACCTGGCTTCCTGCTGCAGATGCTCTATTGGAAATGATGATCTTCCACCTTCCGTCTCCTGCCACAGCTCAAAAGTACCGTGTTGAGAACTTGTATGAAGGCCCTCTTGATGATCAGTATGCAAATGCAATCAGAAACTGTGATCCAGAGGGCCCTCTTATGTTGTATGTGTCGAAGATGATTCCAGTATCTGACAGGGGAGATTCTATGCCTTTGGCCGTGTGTTTGCTTGCAAGGTGTCCACAGGCATGAAGGTCAGAATTATGGGTCCGAATTATGTACCTGGTGAGAAAAAGGACCTGTATGTTAAGAATGTGCAAAGGACTGTCATTTGGATGGGGAAGAAACAGGAAACTGTTGAGGACGTTCCGTGCGGTAATACTGTTGCTATGGTTGGTCTTGATCAGTTCATCACCAAGAATGCCACCTTGACCAATGAGAAAGAAGTTGATGCACATCCAATTCGTGCAATGAAGTTTTCAATGTCTCCCGTTGTCCGTGTTGCCGTGCAATGCAAGGTTGCATCCGACCTTCCCAAGCTTGTTGAAGGTTTGAAGCGTCTATCCAAGTCTGAACCCATGGTTGTCTGTACAATTGAGGAATCTGGTGAGCACATTATTGCTGGTGCTGGAGAAATCCTCCACCTTGAGATCTGTTTGAAAGATCTGCAAGAAGATTTCATGGGCGGTGCTGAAATTGTAAAGTCTGATCCAGTTGTTTCCTTCCGCGAGACTGTGCTCGAGAAATCTTGTCGTACTGTGATGAGCAAATCTCCCAACAAGCACAACTGTCTGTACATGGAAACAAGACCCATGGAGGAAGGACTTGCTGAGGCCATTGATGAAGGCCGTATTGGTCCAAGGGACGACCCTAAAGTTCGATCCAAGATCCTGTCGGAAGAGTTTGGTTGGGACAAGGATCTCGCCAAGAAAATCTGGTGCTTTGGCCCTGAGACCACCGGTCCTAACATGGTTGTAGACATGTGCAAGGGAGTACAGTACCTTAATGAGATCAAGGATTCTGTTGTTGCCGGGTTTCAATGGGCTTCCAAGGAGGGTGCTTTGGCTGAAGAAAACATGAGGGGCATTTGCTTTGAGGTCTGTGACGTTGTACTTCATGCTGATGCGATCCACAGAGGTGGTGGTCAGGTGATCCCAACTGCCAGGAGAGTTATCTATGCCTCTCAACTCACTGCCAAGCCCAGGCTTTTGGAGCCCGTCTACCTGGTCGAAATCCAAGCACCAGAGCAAGCCCTCGGCGGAATCTACAGCGTTCTGAACCAGAAGTGCGGGCACGTGTTTGAAGAGGTGCAGAGGCCTGGTACCCCACTCTACAACATCAAGGCGTACCTTCCCGTGGTCGAGTCATTTGGTTTCTCGAGATCACTGATTCAAACACTAACGTTAGAATCAATAAACTATGTTATCTAAAGTATCTCATTCTAATGTCTAACCCATTACGACACAATATGCGATTATGGCATGTGAATCGAAATTGTTCGTTTCGCAACACTTCCCTGCAAAACATCGTTGGAATACTATACAAGAAATGTACAAAGGAACTTTATGTAAGCTCACAATCTCAAGAGCGTACAACTCTAATAATCTTTCCAATGACATGTCACGACTGATTGATATGAAATGAGCTCACTTGGTCAATCAGTCAACAATTACCAAGCACTGTCATTCTTCCTGACTAGTAACGGAAGTCCAATCACAAAGTCCATCATAATCCGTTTCCACTTCCATTTAGAAATGGTAGGTGGATGTAACAGTCCACATGGTACTTGATGTTCGGCTTTAACTTGTTGACACGTCAGACATTACGTAGTAAATTTTGAAATTTCCCGTTTCAATGTTGGCCACCAATACGTCTTATTCAGATCATGGAACATTTGGTTGCTACCTGGATGCACAGTATACGTTGTTTCATGAGATTCGCGCATCAAGGATTCTCTCACTTCTCTCCATTGGGAACCACCACACGATTCTTATAGAACAAAACTCTATGGTTGACAGTCAAGTCTTGTCTCTCCCCCTTAGAGACAAGCTCACATGTTTTTAGACAATATTCGTCATGTTTCTGTGCATCATGAATTTCACTTTTCAGAGTCAGTTAAATTCCAAGTTTGGCTACTAATTTCTGACTTAACGTATCAAATACTATGTTAGTCTTGTCAGGGTGATAATCGATGTAGCAGTCATAATCCTTGATCAATTCCAGCCATCTTTTCTGTCTTAGACTCTATTCCTTCTGAGTCAACAGGTCTTTGAGACTTTTTTTGGCCTGTGTGAGTATATGTCGTCTCTCTAAAGAGATTGTGACACCATATCTTCAATTAAACTACAACTAACGCTAACTCAAGATCATGAGTAGGGTAATTGACCTCATGGGGTTTCAACGGTCTTGAAGCGTAGGCCACCACTTTTCCTTCTTGCATAAGCATACATCCCAATCCACTATGAGATGCATCAGTGAAGGTTATATAGCTCACACCTGGTACTGGTTGTATTAGTACAGGTGCTTCTGTCAAATATTTCTTCAGTTGTTTGAAACTCTTCTGACATGCGTCGGTCCATTCAAATTTGACATACTTCTTAAGAAGTTTGTTCAATTGAGTTGCAATCGAGGAAAAGCCTTCAACAAAACGTCATTAGTATCCAGCTAATCCAATAAAGCTTATCACCTTACGAATATTCCTCGGGACCTTCCATTCCGTGATGACAGATATTTTGCTAGGGTCCACTTTAATCTCTTCGCTTGAAATCACATGTCCCAAGAATGTGATTTCATCAAGTCAGAATTCACATTTGGATAATTTAGTGTAGAGCTTGTGTTCATGTAGTACACTCTGTACTATTTCCAAATGTTTTGTATGATTGTCTCGAGTCTTTGAATAGACAAGAATATCATTGATAAACATGGCTACAAATTGATCCAAGTAGGGTCGGAATGCACTATTCATGAGATCTATGAATACAACAAGTGCATTCGTCAACCTAAACGGCATTACCGTGAACTCCTAGTGACCATAACGAGTATAAAATGCAATGTTTGGAATATCCTTCTTCTTGACAGTTATTTGATGATATCTAGATCGAAGGTAAATCTTAGAGAATACAGTTTCTCTTTTAAGTTGATCGAACAAGTCGTCAATACGTGGAAAAGGAAAACAATTTTTAATTGTCACTTTATTTAGTTGTTAGTAGTCGATGCAGAGTCTCATCAAGCCGTCTTTTTTACGTACAAACAGCCAGGTCTCCCTAAGGGGAAACACTTGGTCGGATGAATCCTTTGTCAAGTAACTCTTGCAACTGAGCTTTCAACTCTTTCATTTCATCGGGGGCCATTCAATATGAAGTTGCAGACATTGGTCCTCTTCCGGGAACAAGATCGATAGATAATTCTACTTATCTAGAAGATGGTAAACCAAGAAGTTCATCAGGGAATACGTCAGGGAAGTCACATACTATCAATATGTCTTTCCGTTTGGGGGTTTCTTTTCATGTAGTACATACATTACAAAAGTAGGCTTTACAGTTTTTCTGGATAAGACCTCTTGCATGCATATATGAGATGAACTTAATTGGTTTAGGAATTAGATTTTCTTTCACCTCCATAAGGTTACCATCATCGGTCTTCAATTGAAGAATTCTTTACCCACAATCGATAACAACACGATGTTCAGTTAGCCAATCCATACCAAGAATAATGTCAAATTCATTATATGGTAATTCAATGAGGTTTACAGGGAACTGTTGCTCTTGGACAATAAGAAGACAAGTTCAATACACAATTGCATACTTTGTCCTAATGGGTTAGACACTGGTATAAGATATTCTAAATTTTCTTTTAGAATATCAAATTCATCAGGCATAGGCACACATATATAAGACAATGTAGATCCAGATCAATCAATACATGCATGCTTGTATCAAACAAGGAAAACAAACTCATAATGACATCGGGGTTTTCCTTAGCATGGCCCTTCGTGGGATAAGTGTGTGCTGGAGCTCATCCTTGCTGTTTGTTCTGGTTCTTAGGCGGATTGGATCTTGCCGTAGAGCGTTGGCTTGGTGTTGAACGTGCTAAAGCTGACTAGCTTACGACTGGAGCAGCTTGGAAAGGTCCGCCAGGATTGATGGGACAATCTTTTTGGAAATGTCCAGGTTTGCCACAACATAGATATAATCCTTATGTGAGCAGGCATTCCCCATAGGTGGTGCCTTCCAAAAATGTTACACATTGGATGTTTCCACGCCATATACTTACTTCTAGATGGCATTGACTAAGTTGACATTGACTTGCCCTTCTTCGAGTGTTGGGCACTGTTCGACCCAACAAAGGGTCTCTTTCCACTAACAGTCAGTCAGGCACTCAAACTTGTGATCAAATCATATTCTTGGGAGAAATCCAAAGTAGGAATAATAGACACAGGAGGCCTGAGGTCAGTTCGAAGCCTTTTGCGGAATTTCTCAATGCGATTAGCCACAGTGCCAACCAGTGTTGGTGCAAACTGTGAAAGATCAATAAACGTCTGTCAGTACTCATGGAGTGTCATATCCCATTTCTGTAGTTCTACAAACTCAGCACGTTTCTCCTCATGGAATCGAGCTGGGATGTACTTCTTCTTGAACGCCCAATTGAAGAATTTCCATGTCCAGGGTTTAGGTGTATGATCTTCAACGTGTGCTTCCACCACTCGTAGGCTCCCATACAAAGTAACTAAGATGCGAGCTTCGAGCATTTCACTAAATGCACATTCAGATTTTCCAGAATTCTTGTGGTTTGTTCAATCCAATCTAGAGCAAGTTGGGGTTCAACAATCCTATCCCCTAAAAACTCTTCAGCACCATTGTCCTTCAAAGTTTTGAAGGTAATCTGACGATGTGGTGGTGGTGGCAATGATTGAAACATGGGGACATTCGCCATTTGTTGAAGGAAATTTGCCATAGAGACAGGCATCACGAAGTCAGGTTGACCCCTAACATTTTGATGATTTCCCACATTCTAGGGTACATTCCGTGGATTGATTGGTTCATTTTGATTAGGATGAGTGGAGCTTGATGCTTCGGTGTGAATGCTCACGTGTTTGTTGTTTAGGCTGACCATGTGCAGATTCTTGACTCATTCTACGAATAACATGAATTCCTTTATTATATTCTTTATTTGAGTAGTTGAGTTGATTAACATAAGTGTCGAGGAAATACAACAATTATAGTGATTGTACCCAATCAAAAGGATTTTGAGAAGAAATGACAGAGTTTTATTATTTTTAAGCGTTTGCGTTTGAATCAATGTTCTGATCGTGCTGAGTCCATAAGAGGGTCCTCGACAATGGATCTACAAATTTTATTTGTAGAATCAACACTATATGTTTCTTCACGGTTGTCTCGTTCCCATGCGGCTTTACGGTGCAGATAAATCTCTAGTTTAATCTTTTTGCGATGAGAATGTTGATAACAGATCACGGAGTCATATACTTTTTGCTTATTCTTCCATATCTAGTCGAGCACGAAAGTTTGACTTGAATTGACACTCAATATGATTTCAGTACTCACAGTTGTCATATAATGAGAATTTAATACAATCAATATTTATCGAATAAATTCTCATTACTTTTTTCCAGAGCAGAGGGATGCAAAAGTCGTGGATGTGATTTTTTTATAAACACACACACACACACACGCACACGCGCGCGCACACACACACACACACATATATATTTCACACAAACATAGATACGATAATATTGTCATGGGGGGCAAAGCTTCAATTTCAAACGACGTTTTTAAAAAAAAAACACGTAGCAACATGTTTTAGATATTAAACGAAAGAAACATAAAGAAAGAGTGCCAGCCGTGGGTCTCTTGTACTCTCCCTCGTCTCCATCCTCGTCCTCATCCTCTCCCTCCGCACCAACTTCCTCATAGTCCTTCTCGAGGGCAGCCAGATCCTCACGGGCCTCTCTGAACTCCCCTTCCTCCATGCCCTCACCAACATACTAGTGGACGAAAGCCCGCTTGCAGTACATGAGGTCAAACTTGTGATCGATGCGGGAGAAGACCTCGTCGACACTAGTGGAGTTGGAGATCATACAGACAGCCCTCTGCACCTTGGCAAGGTCGCCCTTGGGGACAACTGTGGGCGGCTGGTAGTTGATGCTGCACTTGAATCTAGTCGGGCACCAGTCAACAAACTGAATGGTGCGCTTGGTCTTAATGGTGGCCACAGCAGCATTCACGTCCTTGGGCACAACGTCACCACGGAACATGAGACAGCAAGCCATGTACTTCCCGTGACGGGGATCACACCTGACCATCATGGAAGACGGTTCAAAGGCACTGTTGGTGATCTCTGCAACCGAGAGTTGCTCGTGGTAGGCCTTCTCGGCTGAGATAACGGGTGCATAGGACGAGAGCATGAAATGTATCCTAGAGTATGGGACAAGATTGGTCTGGAACTCATTGACATCAACGTTCAAGGCTCCGTCGAATCGCAGAGAAGCAGTCAGCGAAGAGATGACCTGAGAAATGAGACGGTTAAGGTTGGTGTAAGTAGGACGCTCAATATCAAGGGAGCGGCGACAGATGTCATAAATGGCCTCATTGTCAAGCAGAATGGCAACATCAGTGTGTTCAAGGAGGGAGTGCGTGGAGAGGACTCTGTTATAGGGCTCAACCACAGATGTGGAGACTTGTGGGGAGGGATAAATGGTGAAACCAAGCTTTGATTTTTTTCCATAGTCAACAGACAGACGCTCCAAGAGAAGAGATCCAAGACGAGAACCAGTGCCTCCCCCAACAACATTGAAGACCAGAAACCCTTGAAGGCCAGTGCAGTTATCCGCAAGCTTCCGAATGCGGTTCAGGAAGAGATCCACAATCTCTTTGCCAATTGTATAATGACCACGGGCAAAGTTGTTGGGTGCATCCTCCTTGCCACTGATGAGCTGTTCTAGGTGAAATAGCTGCCTGTAGGTTCCAGTCCTCACTTCATCAATCACAGTTGGTTCAAGATCAACAAATACAGCACGGGGAACGTGCTTCCCAGCTCCCGTCTCACTGAAGAAGGTGTTGAATGCATCATCACCTCCTCCAATAGTCTTATCACCATCCATTTGTCCATCAGGCTGAATGCCGTGCTCGAGGCAATAGAGCTCCCAGCAAGCATTTCCGACCTTGATACCGGCCTGACCGATGTGGATTGAAATGCACTCTCTCATTTTCGCGACTTGGAGGGATTCGAAATCGGAAACAAGGAGAAGAAACGAAGAAGGGAAGAGATCCACAATCTCTTTGCCAATTGTAAAAGAGAGAGGCAGAGATCTGGAGTAGGGGTGGACACGGTACGGTTCCGGTTCCGGAACCGCCGGTTCCGGTACCGCCACCCCTTGGTACCAGTACCGTGACCGGACCGGCCGGTACCGGTTCCAGTACCCGGACCGGCGGTTCCGGTACCGGACCGGCCACCAATTTCTTCTCCGGTTTTCAGTCGCCGACTCGCTGATTTCTTCTTCGATTGGCTATTGCTGCGGAATAATTTGGTGATGGAGATGAGAGCACAGAGCCTGAGGCGATGAATGAGTACTCCGTTTTTTTTTTTGAAAATTGGGCTATTGGGCTTATGGGCTATGGAGTATTGGGCTGGGTCAAAGAATTTATTTAAACCCATTTTTAAAACGGCATAGTTTTACCTTTTTTTGCTTTTGGGAAACTGGCAGCAGTGCTTCTTCTTCTTCCTTCAATCGAGCGGCTGCGCGACGGATGGACTTCGCTGTGGGGGAGCAAATCTGGAGTCTGGACAAAAAAAGGTACCAAAACCGGTACCGGTACCGCCGGTGCCGGTACCAAAAAATGGATACCCGAACCGGTACCGTGGGGGGCGGTACCGGTATCGGTTCCTGGAACCGGTGGGACGTCCCGGCCGGCGGTACCGTGTCCACCCGTAATCTGGAGAAGAATGGGGGGAGGGAGGGGAAGGAGACAAAAAAAAAGAAGAAGAAAAAAGAGGAGGAAAAAGAGAGGAACGGATGGAGAAAAGGGTAGGAGAAAAAGATAAGATTTAAGAGGAGTGTGTGGTGAGGATTTATGGGAGGAGAGAGAAAGGGGATAGGGGAGAGAAAATGTGAAAATGTTAAGTGGGGGTATTTTTGGTAGTTAGTGTATTAAAAATGGAAATGGGAAGATTTTTTCCGGACGGGGAAAAAGGAGAAACGGGAAGATTTTTTCCGGACGGAGGGAGTAGCTCCTATCATCTGTACACTTCCTGAGATTTGAGGGGCTTAAAGCTCTTGCAATGGGCATCAAAAAACTACCGCGCCGGCTAATGCAGAACGCCGAGCGGCACCTCGCCATTGCAGGACGAGCAGCGAAAAGCTCCTACGGTGCTCAGCAATGCGTGAAACGTGCCTGAAATGGCCGGCCGGCCATCCACTGCAGTTGTCCGATGTGCCGCTCCGTCTAATTTTTTTAGTAAATATTTCAATTCTATGAATTCAACAGATCTCTCACTTCAATTCATCCATTCTCATCTCTCTCAATTCACTCTTTTTCTTACATTATCTTCATCTTTCTTATTTCATTCAATATATCTTCACCTTTCTTTTTTTATTTTGTTTCACCCAAAAAATAAAATTTTAATTTTATTTTGGTGTTTCATTTTTTATTTCGATGTTTTTAATTAAGAGTGTCATTGTTAGATTCTTATTTTAATTAATGATTTTTGTTTTTTAATAAAAATTTAGAATTAAATATGATGAATAATGTAAAAAAATAGAGAAACGAGTTGTTGAAGACGGATAGTATTGCAGAATTTGGAGACAGAGTTAAAAATTAGTGGAATACTATATCTAGGCGGGGCGAGATCCTTATTGTAAATGCTCTTAGCTTTTTCCAACTATGCAGACTTAACCCATAAAAAGTATCCCAAATTTTAAACTAAAATTATGCATTCACATTTTGGTAATTTATTAGTGCAATCAAAAAAAATTTAAGCTAGCCTTTTTGTTTGTGCGAAGTAGTATTCTAGAGTCATACTGAACAAAATGAGATGCATACACATTTGGGATACCACTATTGGGGACAAATAGCTAAATTCTGGTGCGTTTCGCCCAGCCGCCCAGGTACCCAAAAACTTCTACTGGTGATAGCTGATGCTTTGTCTCGTTCTCTGAGAAATTTCAAGGGAAATATGGAAAGCATAGCGGTGGAAGATGAAACGCCTTATATCACAGCTCTCGGCTCTTTGTTTAAGCTTACCGAAGTTTATCTCTCGTACGTTTAATCGACACGAAGTCTTCCTCTTTTTTTCTTTTTTCACTTGAGGATTATTATACCGTACCTAATTATCTGCACATACAGGGATGATACTTCAGTCGATGTTCATACATGCTTACCATCTATGGAAGCTTCGGTAAGCTATTTTAGGTTTATATCGATGGGGCTTGTAAGAGCTGTTTGGTGCGATGGTGAATTCAGAACTTGTGTTAGTTGTGTATGCAATGATTCGAAAATGTTCAATTTAAACTATTTTAAACTCCGTATTATTAAATCAAAATGTTCAAATTGAGATTTATTTCTGAAATCATGCTTTATATGAGAACTTAAAGTTGATTGTTTTTCTTTTTCACCTAAACCAAATTGATCCCCCTACTTAACTTTTTGTAGTGCATCCATGAATTTGAGGCATATATTGTTCATTCTGTTGGTAGTGGAACCATTTCAATTTGTTTATACACATGGACTCAGTTTTCAATATATTATGTTTAACAAAAAAGGCAAAATATTTGGATGTCCAAGACAGTGTCCTCCCTCAACTATCCCCTTAAATCCTTCTCTTATTGCTGGTTGTAATGAAAATGTTTTATTCCTTTCAGTAATTAAGTACGGTAATTGTATTCGATTGATCTTTTTATTTTTCCTTGTAGAAAACCATCAATGAAGATGCTGTTGATTCAATTAGTTCGGAATTTAAATCCTTCACAGAAGATATGGAGCTTGCCAAATTGATGAGTGTGATGGGGCTCCCTATGTCATTTCGCACTAAGCGGGTATCATTTCAGTTCAGGTTTATGATACTGCTTGTTAAATAGACAATGATTTTGTATTTTGATTATTCGTGCTATAGAAACAGGGAAATATGCATGTGAGTTTGAAGTTCAGGGAATTGTGAGGTTGCTCAAACAACAACCCGGTAAAATCCCATAAAGTAGGGTGTGGGAATTTTGAGGTTGCTCAATCTATGTGAATTATAAATTGCTTGCAGTGTGTTGGGCCATGCGATTTAGGGAAAATGAATCCCCCAATAATGTATGGTGGCTAATCTATTCAAAGTTTTAGAAAATTAATGAAAACACTGTGTTGAGAAAAAGAGGTACGAGTTTCAATATCAGAGATATGAAGTTTCTAAAATATATGTTTGGTGAACATAAAAAAGAATTCAGCATTCAAACCTGGAAACTCCCCAAGAACACCGTATCTCCATATCCCATTCATTTTACTGATAACAAACCAGCAGTTTCAAAACCCTTCCCTCGTGCTTCCTCTCCTCATCGGTTCCAGAGTTTTTTCTCAGCAATTTGTTCTCTTCATTTTGATTACTTTGTAATTTGACTGCATTTTTAATGAAAAAGCTGATCTTTCTTCCAGCCAAAACTTATAAATTCCTAGTTTATCATTAAAAAAATCATGTGCATCAAGAAACCAATCTTCTTGCTCCGTTTATAGAAACCATTTTGTTCTTTGCATTTTGTTCTGTGCTTATTTTACAATTTTTCTACGTAGTTAAAAACAATAAATTTAAAACTTCAATTTTTCTTCAAAAAGACCAACAATTTTTTTGTGAGCAAGTTGACTCTATATTAACCCATTATCCAACACTTGCATTTGATTTCTCAACTGCTCACCAAACAACTATGATTGTGACTTGATTTCATTCCTCCAAACACTAGTATTCCAGATTTCAAAACCCTATCATTTCTTCCAAATTTCAAAACTCATATCATATCAATCATCCATATTTGGTGAGCTCTTAAGAAATCAAATGCAAGTGTTGGATAACGGTTTTGACAATTCTTTGTGTTTTCTCCACTCTCCTGTGAGTTGTGCATTTGGTGGATACTAATAACATAACTATTGAGGCTATTCCTTTATCTAGCTAGATTTTACTTGGAGTATTTTTAACTCATCAGGCCTTGTGACCATCTTTTTAATCTTTAGGGAGTACTACGGGAGAAGAGAAAGCAAAAGATGAAGGATAAGCTTTCTGCATCAATGGAATGTAACCCGATTCAGGATGACGTGCAAGAGCCTTTCGGAGAGAACGTAGGCGAGAGTGCATCCTCTGAAGTTCCATGCAAATCAAGTGAATCATTGTCATCCATGTTAACAGGAAAAGAGAGTGAATTATCGGACTTTGATGCTGCAGCTGGTGTTGACGAGGTTTGTCACCCCCCTGATGGTGTGAAAGATTCAATCAGCTCAATCTCATCTAGTGCTAACTCTACAGTTGATGACCCAGTTACTAGCGATCCTGGGCGGGACCAAGATTTGAGTTCTGAATTTTTATCAAGGGAAAAAGATGAAATTGTACTAAAAGAAGACATTGGAATTCTTGAGAACGTGATTTTAGATGGAATGGTTGGTATTGTATGTGATGAGAAGGACCCAAAAGGAGGCCAGATGGAGGAGTCAATATGTGTGAAGTCTGCCTTTGCAGTTGACCATGATGCTAGAAGTGCTTTTGATCACTGGAAGGTGTATTGGGACAACTTTTACTCAAGGAACTACTTCCATAATGCTATTACACAAGAATGCTCATGGGACCCACCTGCTGGAATGGAAGATCTAGTGTATGTTAATATCAGTGATACACCAACAGTGCCACAGAACGATACAGCTTACTTGGGCGCCTCTCTGACTTGTTTAAAAGAATTTAGTACTCAAGCCATTTCTTCTCATCAACAATCTATTTGTGATTTATCAGTAGACTACAAAGGTGATGAAGGATTTTTAGATAACCAGATTCATGATTCAGTTGGAGATAAACTTGTTAATGATGCTTTATGTAATACCAGTTCTGTGAAAAGGAAACAAAAGTCTAGGAGAGCAAAATCCAAAAAGAATATATCCATACAGAATGGAGGTATTTAAAATTTCCAGATATATTCACATTCGAGCTACAAGAAAATTGTGTAATATCTCATTAATCAATTTTTTTTCCTCTACAGATTTCCCGTTTACAAATGAAGGCTTTCACCGCAGTTTGAGTAAATACTGGTGTCAAAGGTATAGTTTATTTACAAAGTATGATGAAGGTATCCAAATGGATGAAGAAGGATGGTTCTCGGTTACCCCAGAGCCCTTGGCAAAACATCATGCAAACCGTTGTGCTGGTGGTACTGTAGTTGATTTATTCACTGGAGTTGGCGGAAACGCAATCCAGTTTGCACAACGGTAAGCAATATATGTTGTTTTCTTCCCATAATTTCAAGCCATAATTTCTTGACAATCCATGACAATTGCATTTCTTGTTTTCTACCATTCTAAATCTGTATGTGTTGAAAACAGAGATACAACCGGACTTAAATTAGATTCTTGACTAGAATGCTATTCCCTGCACTATTGTTGATTTTAACAGCCTACTTACTGCAGAATAACATGCTACTACTTTAATACGTTGGACTTTTGACTTACAACTTCTAGTTGCTGAACTGCTGAAGACTCATACACTATATACAGAAAAGTAGCAGGCTCCAAGTGTAATGGGCTAGCTCTAAGGTTTAGAAACCATAGGGTTTATAGTACTACACTTTAACTAATATAATTTTACTTTAACACTCCTAAGAAGGGGTATTGGTAGACCTAGAAAAGTTGGTAAGAGGATTAGACCTTAGATAGGGACACACGGGGATGTAGGATTAGGGTAGTTGGATAGCCCTTTGAGCCTTAGTTTGTAGTTTTTTTCAAGTGCATTTTTACCAGTCTCTAGCTTGTGCATGCATGCTTTTGCCTTTTTGTGCTTTGGGTCTAGTTGCTAGTGTCACACATATGCTTCTTGTATCAGAGTTCCTACTTTTTTAGTGTTACTGTGTTTACTTTGTGCATTTCTATTTGAGTCGAGTTCTCCCAAAACAACCTCTCTACTTTCGAGTAGGGGTAAGGTTCACACACACACACCTTTCCCAGACCCCACTTTTCGTGAGATTATATTGGATTTGTTGTTGTTGTTGTTGTTGTTGTTAGTGTTGTACTTTAACACTCTTCCCCAAGTATGTATTACTCCCTCTGTCTCGGAGTATTTGTCAACGTTTGACTTTTTTTAGTCAAAATTGGCAAACTTTGACTCAAAATTAAATAAAAATGATACTCCCTCCGTCCCAGAGTATTTGTCCACTTTTGACTTTTTTGGTAAAAATTGGAAAATTTTGACCTCAAATAAAAAAAATGATATTAGATATTGACACAAAAATAGTTTTATTAGATTTATTATATAAGATATTTTCAAAATTTTATTTTATCTAATTAATATACAATATATATTTTATTAATTATAGGTCAAAGGTTGAAAACGGTTGACTAAAAAAAGTCTAAACTGGACAAATACTTTGGGACGGAGGTAGTATTAGATATTGATACAAAAATAGTTTTATTAGATTTATTATATACTCTATTTTCAAAATTTTACTTTATCTAATTAATATGCAATATATATTTTATTTAAGTATAGGTCAAAGATTGAAAACAGTTGACTGAAAAAAGTCAAAACTGAACAAATATTCTGGGACAAAGGTAGTATATGATACTACATTTTTTCACATTCTTGATATTTTTCTAAGTCATACGCATTTAAAAACTCAAAAGTAGCATACAATGAGCAAATTTCACAACAAATCAAACATATTTCTTCCATGATGCAAGAACCGAAAAGAAATTATTGAGCAGATATAATGTATAGAAAGAGGGATAGAGTATGCGACTAAAAAATAAAAACTAAGAAAAATGCGACTATGATGAATTTCAAAGTTAAAAGTAAACGGAGAGAAAAAAACATACAAAAATACAAAAAAAGTAGAAGAGAAAGCGAAGAAGAATAAGAAGAGTAGGAATAACAAAAGAAGAGGAAGAAGAAGAAGATGACGAGTAGATGTCGTTAGAATGATATTTTAAGTTTTTTTTACTTCAATGATATTTTAAGTTTATTTATTAAGAGTTTTCAAAAAAAACAAGTTTGTTTTTGCGTCTCACAGTCTCACTTTGGGTGCATAAGGTGTTGATTTTCAATCATCTGCATCTGCTGCCTTGCGTCTTGTGCGCTCCTTTCACAACTAGATCTTGAACACAATCTCATGGAAAGAAGCTCCAACATTCATAGAACACTGCTTAAAGGTTTCCATTTCCCATCTAGTGCAACAGGACATTTGACAAACACTTTATATGCGAGTTTTCACATTTGTGGTGAGATAGATCATAATCCATAAATGAAAACAAATGCTTAAATTTTTATGTTTGAGAATGGCAAGCCCAGAACAGAAATTTTGGCACTTCTGGTAGTGCAACGACAAACAATAGAAACTCAATTTCTTTGTGTGTTCATTACAGAAACAATCTGGAGCAAAGTTTATTTTTTTAATAGGGTAAGTTCCGAATAAAAAAAATTGAACAAGTCAGGGAAATCCCACAAATGGGGGGGACCCCCACATGTGCGCTCACTAGGAGAAATCCAAGTTCCAACCAAAAGAAGTAAAGGCAAAACAAATGCAAGAACAAGGAAGATAAGCTGTATACAACTAAATAAAAGAAAACCAAGAATCTAGTCCACTAAACTAATTCGTGGGATTAGGAGTGATATTGCTTCTTTCACTAGCTTACAGCAGGAAGGTCTGGGTGCTTTTAGTACTATGTTCCTGCTAAAAAGTTTCTAAACTTATTGTTTTTTTCAGGTGTGGACATGTAATTGCAATTGACATTGATCCAATGAAAATTGACTATGCACAACATAATGCAGCAATATATGGAGTTTGTGACAGAATAGACTTCATTAGAGCAGATTCCTTGATATTGGCTCCAGCATTGAAGGTATTCAAAATCTTTGTTGACATTGCCAAGATAATGGTGAACCATGGGAGACATTGTATTAAGGTTCTAAATTGCTTGTAGGAGTTGTGTGCAAGTTGGAATTGGGTCCTCTTAGCTCTTTGTTATTTGGTGTTGTTGGATAGACGTCAGTGAGGTCCTTGTTAGGCTTGGTTTCTTGCACTACTTTTCACTGTTTGTCAGTCCTCTCAAAAACAACCTCTCTATTCCAGTATTCCTTGGGGCCTAGTTTGTTAATAAGCATATTATATTTACGCATTTATAATACCCATATTATATTCACGTATACATATGATCTTCAAAAATACTATATAATACGCCTATTCTTGATATGTATTGAATAAATATTTCATTATATTTTTTTGGGACATCAACACATATTAATTTTTTTCAACAATCATTAAAAGAAAATAATACTTTGTAACAATTACTTATATAACTTATAATTATTGTCACACAATTAATATTATACTTTCTCTGTCCTGCAAAACATTTCTTGTTTTGACATTTGGTAGGGGAAGCCGTAGAAGTTTGACCAAGGTGAAATGACGATAATTGAAACAAGTAGGGTTTAAGAACTCTCAAAATGGGTAGGGCAGTTGGGGTAGGTTAGGTTAGATTTAAAAAATTAGGGAATTTATGTCTATTTAGGCCAAATGGAAAAGTTTTTTGGGACACGAGATGTAAGTGGAAATGTTTTGTGGGGCGGAGGGAGTATTTACCATTAGATCCATAAAGTTTCTTTTGTAGAATTAATATTAAATATTGCGGAGTAATAACTGAATTCAATTGTTTTAAAATATATACTCTCCCCATCCTACAAACAACTTCACATTTCCTTTTTGTCCATTCTAAAAATACTTAACTCTTTCCCTTTATGTCTATTTCAAAAACTTCATTTTCTTTTTAAGAAAATAGAGATTATTGGGAGAAAATTTGGAGATTCTATTAGCATTGTTTATCGATTCATGTTCAACATAGTTTGAGGGATAATTATTAGCATCTTCGTTGATATGTAATTATTCCTTACCTTAACTATATGTGACTTCAGACTAAATAAACCCTTGTTTAAAGAAGACAATTATGCAATGCAATAGTTTTAACTTTCATGAAAAGTTTCTACTTTGCTGGGGTAAAGAACATCTAGCTAGAGGGTTCTTTTTGGGGTTAGAGAGTTTCTCTGATGCTCTTTTTCTGGCTTTTAATTTGTTTCTGTTTAATAACTTTATTTTCTTTTACTTCTGAACTCCCTATCAGAATTATGAAAAATTTTAGTCCCAACGTACCCCGCTATTCTATCGCCTACTCAAGCTGCCGCTTGTAATGTCCATGCTTTGGTATATACTCAATGACTTGTTAATCATTTTTTAAGGCAGCTCTCTTTCATTTTAAAATGTACATATATATTTGCTGCATTCAATTTATAAAGTTGTGTTGAGATTTATTAATTCTCACTTGTACTTCCCCTTTAATCTTTTACTTGCCTTGTGTTATTGAAAAATAGTGCATATTTTGTTTCAGGTGGATGTAGTATACATGTCGCCACCATGGGGAGGACCTGACTATGCCAAGGTTAAGAAGTTCGACATCAAAAGTATGCTTAAGCCACATGATGGGTTCGTTTCTACACTTTAGCTGAACATGACCTCTACTTTTGTTACTTTTCCTTTTCATAGTGGTTGCAACATTATTCATCTACTTATTGTATGCCTTTTTTTATCTATACAGAAGTTTGTTTGTGTATGCCTAACAGGTATTATCTCTTCAATGTTGGAAAAGGAATTGCTTCTAAAGTTGTCATGTTCCTTCCTAGAAATGTTGATATCAATCAATTGGCTGAGATCGCTTTGTCTGCCAACCCATCGTGGTCGCTAGAGGTTTTTTGTCCCATATCCTCTAACCTAGTTGAAAACTTCTTATGTTTTCAAGGGTCTTCTAGATCATATTTAAGTATCCACCTCCACTATTTCTTTTAGAAGTTATGAGTGCTACGTCCATTGTGTTGTTGATCTCAATACTGCTTGTGTGTTCATGACACATGAATATAACAGATATCTCAATAGCATCCAATCAGGTGGGGAGGGGAGATCGGGACTCATCTGATTTGTACGGGAACTCTTGAGTGATGGGTCTCACTCATATTTTAAATAGCTTGTTAAAACCATATACGCAGTACTCCGTATTTAAACTTTTTTAAAATTTTTTTAAAATTATCTATGTCCTTTTTTTTCAGGACCAATTTTGCTTCCACTTGTCTGGAGCATTATAACTAGTTTAGCACCTAGATGACTAATTATTTTGTGCTTGCCTGTGGTCTTAGGTTGAAAAGAATTTCTTAAATGGCAAGCTGAAGGGGATCACTGCATACTTCATTAAGCCTTTATCGGAGCAAAGTAAGATGCAAACATTAAACTAAAAGTTTACCCCGCCCGACCACCCTTCAAACAACGTTCACACTTTTTGAATTGATTATATGCTCCCGGGAGTAAATACATCGCATTTCATGTACATATGTAGTAGAGTAACATATTCTTGCACCTTTGGGATTATATTACATCTCAGTAACCTTAAACAGTCAATGTTGCGCCGGCAGCAGCACATGGATGATGAGGTAGCACTTGTCATCTCTTTTGTGGATAAATTGTACTCCAGTATTTTATTAGAGAGCAAGATGTAGAATTTTGGTGTGTTTATTTTTGTTCTCTAGTTTTTCTGTCTGAACTTTTCCAGCTTTTTACATTCTTTTTTTTCTTCTTCCTAGTTTTCTATTTTATACTTCCACATTCTTGCAATAAGACTTGCAATGATCCAACATAGTTCTTAAGAAAGCTGAAATAATATGGATAAATTTTATGCTCTAGACACTAGAGAAATAGTTATCATACCAATTCTTTTTTGGACACCATGAATAATATATTCACCACCATAAAACGAAGTCTACAGCCCAAAACAGCCATATATCAAAATAAAGACAAAAGACTAACTACACCACTATTTCCCCCGTTGATTGCTCAAAAATCAAAACCCTAATTTTAAAAAGAATAAATTTCATAATTGGTCCTTTATAACAAGTGGGTTTCCCTATTTAGTCTTCTATTATCAAATATTATCCCGGTGGTCCTTTTATGGGTATCTTTCCACATGTAGTTCTTTTTTTATCTTTATTCATGTTGATGTTCATTTGAGGCATAAAAGTGTAATTTAACATTGATAATATATATTTCTTGTCATACACAATTCCAAAGGTCATTCCTGATGCGTCGTTTGTGAATTATAGTCATTTTCTATAACAACTATAGTCTACAGATGTGGTCTTTCGTTGGAATTCTAACTCACAATCATAGTCATTATTTTTGTGTTATTTGTCTAACCAATATCAGAACACATCAGTAGATATAAGGTTGATTTCAAATTATATTTTTAGCCTTTAAATTAACACCAACATGACAAAATTAAAAAAGGACCATTTGTGGAAAGACACTCATAAAAGAAGGACTACGAGAGTAATATTTGATAATAAAGGACTAAATATGGAAACCCCCATGTTATAAAGGATCAATTATGGAATTACTCTTTTAAAAAATAAATTGATGCCACTTGTTTTAAATAGGCGAAGCATAGAAGTAATCTTTTATTCTTATATTTGGTTTTCATAACCCAATTTTTTCCACACTATCTTTGGTTCAAGGAATTTAGAAAGAAAAGAAAAGAAAACGGTTTTCTCTCAATTCCTCATCAAAATCAGAGGAATTTGGTTTTCTCCTCTACTTGGTACATTTTGTTGGAAAGTCGAGCTCATCCTCATCGGCCCCAAACGAGGGGGCGCAAGAGTCGCACCTCAGCTCTTGCAGCTGTTTCTGTGCGGGCCGCGAGAGCGGTACCAAATTGAGGCAAACCACGAATACTATATATGACAAAAAAATAATAAAAAATTAAGCGGGGGTCAAGGTCGGCTAGTGAGACGATGGGGGATAAGCTTCTTCGTCGAGAGGGAAACAACCCGGGTCGTTCATATGAAGAAATATTTGTTATGTTAGAACTTTTTTCCCTATTGGGCCGCTTATTCTATTTTTAAATTCGTTTATTCTAGCAGAATAAGCAGCCAAGGCAGGACGGAGTGAATCAACGATCTAATCCCCCTCCTCATTTTCTTTCCTTCCACTTTTCCTTTCTTTTTTTTTCTGTTTTAAATTTCTTGAGCCAAACATAGTGTTAGTGTCTTTGAGAGAGAAAGGGAGCCAGAGGAGTCCGCATACACTATATCTAAAATATACCTATTTACAAGCAACACAATTTTCATTTTACATATTAATTTATTTACTTTACTATTTATTCAAAATGTGGAGACTATAAGTTATATGTGTGCATATTTGAAAACTACATAACTCATTACACTTATACATAAAACAGTGCATCAAACATGTGAAGATTTATGAAAACAAAATACAAACTTAACACACACACTATAAAATTATAAGAGTAAATTTCATAAAATGTTCCTAATTACAGTTGGTTTCTATATTTAGTCCACAATTTGATATTATCACATAAGACCCTGACTGCTCCGGGTCCAACCCGATCAACGGCCCTACCATGTTTGCCATCTCTGCATGCCCATATTTCCTGCAACAACTCAACAAGCTTTGGAGCACCAAAAGGGTGGTAACAGATTGTACTCAGCACCCTTTGATAGATTTGTATGGTATAAGAACAATCCTAAAAGAGATGTCTAGTATCTTCAATCCTTGTATTACAGCATACAGGTTTGAGTTATTACAATAAATCTTGCTATCCTCTTTTTGAAATTTCTAAGATGTATATCACCTGTAAATACCTAGAAGCAGACCTCACAGAATCTCACAGGCAGATACACACGTTTCAACCGATGACAGAGAATATGCTAAAACACAAAGTCAAACACACACAGAGAATAAAGCAGTAAACGACACAAATTTGTTAACGCAGTTCGGAGCAAATTCTCCTACGTCTGCGAGGCCCACGTCCGTGTAACAGCCCTCCACTAGATNGAACAGCCTTATATCCAGGTCAACTCAGTACTCAACTCCTGGAAGTACTTGCCGATACATAATCATGAATCATATGCAGCTTGTATAGGAATCAGATGAACAATATCATGATATGTACCACACACGCTAAGATTATGAATTGTGCGTGAACTGGTGTATCTTTTTTCTCTTTTTTCTCCGTAACTGCTTCAGGCCTCGATATGTGTTTTTATATGTATCCGCAAACCCTGCCCTTCTGGGACTAGACCTCTCTTATGCGCTACAGTCCAAGATACACACGTCATTGTAACAGCCCTGCACAAAGTCGTGTAGTGCAGGAAGTTTGTCGCTGATCCATCTCTAGTTGAGGCCTCGTCTTGTAGTCGTGCAGTCCCCTTGTTACTCCAGGTGTGTAATGCGTACAAGATGGATGACCAATGCTATAACACCTACAAAGACACTGAACTACCCTAGTGCTTGTGCGTTGTCAAAAATACTGCCAACAATTAACAATATCTAACAAGAGATTACACAATGATGTCCCTAACAATCTCCCCCTTTGGCAATTTTTGACAAACACAAGCACACTGACACTCAGCCGGTCAGAACCTCTTCTCCCCCTTTTGGAAAAAAATGCCGAAGGCAGGTGAACTATTTTATTGAAATTGTAGAGAAGAGTAACATTCTGAAACCGGGTGCAAGAGTGTGTACATCAATAAAAAAAAATAGATTATCCAACTTGCACAACAACCTGAGTAAACAAAGAGAACAACCAATGAAGCATAATATCTTGGGAAAGCATAACCACCAAATGCAGAATTGGATAAGTGTGTTCAGCAACAAAACAAACGAGCTAGTAAGCAACCATTCAGAATCCAGACAAAAAAAACAGGGACAGAACAATCCCTATAACATCACCAAGGTCTTCAAAAACAACACAAATCTTTTTTTTTCGAAATTAATCATCAGTAGTATCAAACTTGTGGAGCTCAGCTTCAAAGTCTGAATCCTCATCTGCAAGAGTATCATTCCCTTCACTTTGCTCCCCCTGAGTAGCATCATCTTCTTCTGATGTATCTTCCTTGGAGTCCTCCCCCTGAGGCTGTGCAGTTGAACCTGTTTTTGCATCCAGAGAAGAGAGTATGATGGCCATTTTCTTCTTCTTTACTTCAGCTGCTTTGATCAGTTCTTTGTGTCTTTCAATTTGTTCTTGGAGCAGTTGGATTTCTGTTCTGAGAAATGCTGTTTGAGAGAAGTCTGATCCAAGAAAGGCAGTAGCAGTCCTCTGGCTTTCATCCATCACCATATCATTGTGATGCCTCCCTTCAAAGTGCCTCATGTCCACCTGCAACAGAGGAGGTGCTGGTTCTTCTTCATCTGCAACATTAAGTCCATGTGACTTAAGATATTGGAAAATAAGCAGTGGATAAGGCAGTCCATTTGTGTTGGATTTTGCTCTCCCAGATGCAAAGCTTAGGATCTGATCATAGATGATTTTTCCCAGATTAAACGGAATTCCATGTTTAACCTTGTAAATGAGAGTGGCCATGCACAGAGGGACTGTGTTCATATGTGTGGTGGGAAGCCAGTGATAAGCAGCAACTCGGAATAGGATAGCATATGAACTCTTTAGGATAGATGATGGGACTTTGGACTTGGAGGTCTGAGATATTCGCTCACCATTGGTAAGATCTGTCCAGACTTGGCGTTCATTCACATTTTTCTCTGAGGAGATTGATTTTGTGTGCAAAAACTTATTGATTTTAGCTGGGGATAGGTCATAAGTCTTGCCTCTCAAAAATACCTTATGGAAGGAGGGGTCGGAAGGTGTGTTGCAGCTCTCATTCAGATTACAATAAAACTCCTGTATTACTCTTCTCACATATGAACCAGGTATGGTGACAGATTTGAGCAGGTGGGATTGTTTCAACACAGGAATTAGATTGGTCTTAGTTTCAAAATCATCAACATCTATGCTTCTTTGGGGCAGAATGGATTTCTTTGTAATTTCAGACATAAAGAAACTAGCAGTTGATGAGATAAAGACTTGATTAGGAAACTTCCCTGGTTTTGGTAATTTCTCAGCGTCAGCACCTTTCTTTTTGTTGATTTGACTCCTGGTGGTGAGCCTTTCGATAGTGGGTGACCTTTTCAGCCTTTTTGTACACTCTTCAAGTTCATCCTTGGATTTCCCTTTCCTTTTCACCCCCTTTTCTGGACTTGTTCTTGCTTGAATTTCTTCAGCTTTTTCAGCCTCTTGGTCTTCTTTAGCCTTTTGACGAAGGGACCATCTGTATCCAGAATTCTTCACCTGTTTCTTCTTGATCACTGGAGTTGTGGGTTGTGAGTCTTCAAAGGGTACATCTGAACATGCAATGAGTGGCTCCTCATCTACGAGATCTGGAATTTCCTTTTCTTGCACCGGATCATCTTCTTCCTCCATTTGCATGTCATTTATCTGTTGTGCAGGTGTATGCTTCAGATAGAGTGTACCTGAAATTTCAGCCACAGGACCTAGCAGAACATCATCTTCAACATCTTCTTTTCCTTCAACATCTTCAGTTTTTTCATCCGTGCACTGTTCCTCTGAATTTCCCAGAACATGATCAGGGGAAATTTCTTTTTCGTTGCAGCTTGTCGTTGATTTCTGATTTTCATCAGATTGTTTCTCCTTCTTCATGGCTAGCAGACGAGGCCAGCTATGTCTTGCCCACAGCTCCTTCTTGATACGTAACCTTTTGATGTGCTGTCTATGGAGGGCAATCTTGGTTCTCACCATTTTGTTGAATGCGATAGAGAGTTTGGTGCTAAACTTGATTTAGGGTTTCTTGGTAGTCTATCGTGATGGAGGAGGGGAAAGCGTATCTAGAGATCCGTTTCTTTGCAAGTGACGCTTCGGTGGCCGTGTATCTCTCCCCTTTTTAAAGAATAATAATTACGGTTTGCAGTGCCTCCTCACTCCCCCTCCTTTTTTTTCAGCGGTTATTGGTATATTGAGCACCTTAGCTGACACTTTGTGCTCAACGCCATTTTGCATGTCTTATTGGAATGGTGCACACAGACCCAAACTGGATCTGAGAGTTTCAAATCTTTCTCCATCTAGAGCTTTAGTAAATATATCTGCTAACTGGTGCTCAGTGGGAACATATTCAAGTGTGACAATTTTTCCTTCAACTAACTCTCGGATAAAGTGGTGTTTGATATCAATGTGTTTGGTGCGAGAGTGTAGCACAGGATTTTTTGAGATATTGATGGCACTTGTGTTGTCACAGTAAAGAGAAATAGTATCGTGCTTAATTCCATAGTCGGTTAACATTGATTTTATCCACAAGAGTTGTGCACAACAGCTGCCTGCAGCAATGTATTCAGCTTCTGCTGTGGAGAGAGAAGTAGAATTTTGCTTTTTGCTAAACCATGCAACCAGATTTCCTGCTAGATAAAAACATCCTCCTGAAGTGCTTTTGCGATCATCGATGTTACCAGCCCAGTCTGCGTCACTATATGCTAGAAGATGTGCTGGAGCACCTTTAGAGTACCATATCCCCATGTTGTGCGTGCCTTTGACATACTTCAGTATTCTCTTCACAGCCTTTAAATGTGATTCTTTAGGTTTAGCTTGATACCTTGCACACAACCCCACACTGTAGCATATGTCTGGCCTGCTTGCAGTAAGGTATAAGAGACTTCCAATGATCCCTCTATAATAGGTAGCATCAATGTCTTTCCCATCATCGTCTCTACTGATCTTCTCATGTGTTGGACAAGGTGTTCTAGCACTTTTGCTGTTATTCATTTCAAACTTCTTCAGCATATTCTGTGCATATTTGGTTTGTGAAATGAATATACCCTCATTTGTTTGTTTGACTTGTAGTCCCAGAAAGTAAGTCAGTTCTCCAATCATGCTCATCTCGAATTCTTTTTCCATAACTTTTACAAAGTCTTCAACATGCATATGTGATGTTGATCCGAAAATGATATCATCAACATATATCTGTGCTACAAGGATATCATTATTGTATCTGATGTAGAACATTGTGTTGTCAGCTCCACCTCTAGCATAGCCTTGGGCAACCAGATATGATGTTAACCTCTCGTACCAGGCCCTTGGAGCTTGTTTTAGGCCGTAGAGTGCCTTTCGCAGTTTGTACACATGTGTTAGATGCATTGTGTCTTCAAATCCCTTTGGCTGTGACACATAAACCTCCTCTTTGAGATACCCATTTAAGAAGGCTGTCTTTACATCCATCTGATATAACTTCATATTCCATGCACAAGCCATACTGATAAGTATTCGGATAGACTCCAGTCTGGCTACAGGTGCAAAGGTCTCTTCAAAATCGACCCCTTCCACTTGGGTATAGCCTTGTGCCACTAGTCTGGCTTTGTTGCGAATTACTTTCCCATCTTCATCAGTCTTGTTTCGATAAATCCATTTTGTACCAATGATGTTTACGCCCTCCGGTTTTGGCACCAGTTCCCATACCTGATTTCGTTCAAACTGCCCCAGCTCTTCTTGCATGGCATTTATCCAGGCTTCATCCGTCAATGCCTCCTTCACATTTTTTGGTTCAATTGAGGAAGTATAGAACGCATTAATCATTTTAACAAAATCAATCTTCTTTTTCCGGGTGCGCATGCCTTCTTGTGGATCTCCGATTATATTTTCAATGGGATGGCTTTTCTGGATATGTGTGGGCACTCTAAGTTCTTCAGGTGAACTTGTTTGATGCTCTATGTTTCTTTGCTCCTCTGAATCTGATTGTGCAGTGATATCTTCCACCTGCTGTTCAGTAAGTGTTTCATCATCTTTTCTGTCATTCAGATTTCTAGATATGGCCATGTCATCCACAATGACATTAATTGACTCCATTATTGTTCTGGTGCGTTTGTTGTATACTCTGAATGCCTTACTGTTCGGTGAGTATCCTACGAATATGGCTTCATCACTCTTAGCATCAAACTTACTTCTGTGCTCTCGATCCCGAAGTACATAGCATTTTGCTCCAAAGATGTGAAAATGTGCAACATTTGGTGTCCTTCCTTTCCATAGTTCATATGATGTTGCTTGTGTTCCACTCCTTATATAGACACGGTTTATTGTGTAGCATGCTGTGTGAACAGCTTCAGCCCATAGACTTTCAGGTAATTGTTGCGTGTGAAGCATCGTTCTGGCCATCTCTTGAACATGTCTGTTTTTTCGTTCTGCCACTCCATTTTGCTGTGGAGTTTTTGGCGCTGAAAACTCATGAGCGATGCCTTGACTGTCACAGTATTCACTGAAAGGTTGGCTGTCAAACTCTCCTCCGTGATCACTTCTGACTCGTATCACCTGCTTTATTTTCGACTGCTTTTCATTCTGTATTTTGTTGCAGAGTGAGATAAAAGCTTCCAGAGCATCATCCTTATGTTTCAAGAAGCTCACCCATGTGTATCTGGTAAGATCATCAACCACCATGAGCACGAATCTCTTACCTCCCATGCTTTCGGTTTTCATAGGGCCAAACAGATCTATATGTAACAACTCCAGTGGATACTTTGTTGATTGAAAGGTTTTAACAGGGTGAGTTTTCCGTATCTGTTTCCCTTTTTGGCACGGTCCGCAAACTTCTACCTCTGTTTTGATTATCTTTGGTAATCCTCTGACTGCTCCTGAATTTGATAGCGTGACCAGGTCTTTGTAGTTGAGATGCCCAAGACGATAGTGCCAGAGCTTTGCATCCTTTTCACTTGCAGAGAAGCACAGTACATTTGGTGTTACTTTGTACCAGTTATCTGCAGTTCTATCACCTTCAAGCACAACCTGCTTGCTCTTATCTCTCACTTTACATTTTTGCTGTGTGAAAACTGCTTCGAGTCCTTGATCACATATCTGACTAATGCTTAGCAGATTCACCTGTAATCCCTGAACTAGCCACACATTTTTAATAGGTGGCAATCCTGTTACGTTAAGTGTACCACTGCCTACTATTTTACCCTGTGCTCCACCACCAAATCTGACATTTCCTTGTTCATTGGGTTTCGGATCCATAAGATTTTCTTTGTCACCTGTCATATGATGAGAACAACCACTATCAAGAAGCCACTGATCTGGAGTAACCCTATAACATGTATTTGCGACCATGGCATATTGTTTGGGTATCCAAATCTGTTTGAATTTCTTCTTTGAAGTGACCTGCTGACTCCATTCCTTGATGCACTGACGTTTTACATGTCCCCATTCTCTACATCTGTAGCATCTGTAGGAGGTGTAGTGATCGTTATGAGTGCCATTCAGAAGACTTCTTTTGACTTGGTATTCAGGAGGTGCTCTCTCAAGTGCTTTGACAAACTTAATCTCTTGAGATTTTGAGGTACTTCCTATGTTGGTAAACCCAATACATGTCATGTCTCCTGGAGGCTTTGCCATAAGTGAATGATGATCTAGCATCTCAGCTCCTGCCACCTTAATCCACTTCTGATAGGACTTCAGTTGATTAATTTCATAGCGCAAGTTTGAGTTTTCTCCTTCTAGTTTGGTGATCTTGTGCTTTGATTCTTCAATCTTCTGTTTAAGTGCTTCCATTTCAGAGAGTAACCTGTTTTTGTCTGCCACATTCCGTTTGGTAACCATCAGCAGTTCTGTCCACTTCTCTTGTAGATCTTCAAGTTGTTCAGCAAGACTGTCTTCCAAATCTGAGTTTTCACAAGCAATGAAAGCACAATTTTGCTCACCGTGATCACCAAGCTCATCTACTTCTTCATCACTCCAGGTTGCGGTAAATGCCTGTCTCTTTTTCTTCAGGTTGTTTGCGCATTCAGACTGAATATGTCCATATCCACCGCACTCAAAGCATTGTGGTCCCTTTTTCTTCACGGAAGTGACATTGTCTGGGTATTTAACTTCTATGGGCTTGGTATCTTTCTGAAAAGGTCCCTTTGATGTTCCCTCCATTCGTTGATTTCCTTTCTTCTGCATCCATTGTTTTTTGAACTGGCGTGTGAAGAGTGACAGTTGTTCCTGAAAGTCTTCATCTAGTGACATATCATGTTCACTGTCATCTTCTGCCTCTGTGGTGGAGAAAGCAATTTGTTTATCTGGCTTCCGACGCTTACTGTCTTCCATCATGTCAAGCTCAATTGACTCCAGTATTCCCATGAGTGCATCAAGAGTCATATTTTTTATGTTGTGAGACCTTCTGATTGCTTTGACATCCATGTCATATTCTTTTGGCAATGATCGCAATACCTTGAGCACCAGCTTGTTTTCAGGGATGGATTCATTTAGACGTGCAGCCTGATTTGCGATATCTCTCACTCTACCATGAAATTCTGTTATTTTTTCTTTATCATCCATGCGTAAATTCTCGTATTGTGTCATGAGAATTTGATACTTGGCTGTTTTTACTTCCTCATCTCCTTCATGAGTAACTTCGAGAATATCCCAAGCTTCCTTGGCATTGTCACAGTTTGAGATAAGTTTGTACTGAGTAGAGTCAACTGCTCCGAAAATTGCATTCAGGGCTTTGTCGTTGAACTCTGCTGCAATGGCTTCTGTTCTGCTGTACTCTTCAAAAGGCTTAATAGTTGATGTGGTCAGATCTTCTGAGTATTTTCGTGGTTCTGTCCAACCTGTCTCCACGCTTCTCCATACACCACCTCCTAGAGATTTAAGGAAAGCTCTCATTCGGCCTTTCCAAAAATTGTAGTTATGACCACGTAGCAATGGTGGCCTTTGAACATTTGCACCCTCTTCCATATCTCCCATGATGTGATCAACAGCTAGTGACTTAAGCTGTTCCCGCTCCGATACCAATTGAAATTTTTAAGATGTATATCACCTGTAAATACCTAGAAGCAGACCTCACAGAATCTCACAGGCAGATACACACGTTTCAACCGATGACAGAGAATATGCTAAAACACAAAGTCAAACACACACAGAGAATAAAGCAGTAAACGACACAAATTTGTTAACGCAGTTCGGAGCAAATTCTCCTACGTCTGCGAGGCCCACGTCCGTGTAACAGCCCTCCACTAGATCATAGTAAAGTTTNGAACAGCCTTATATCCAGGTCAACTCAGTACTCAACTCCTGGAAGTACTTGCCGATACATAATCATGAATCATATGCAGCTTGTATAGGAATCAGATGAACAATATCATGATATGTACCACACACGCTAAGATTATGAATTGTGCGTGAACTGGTGTATCTTTTTTCTCTTTTTTCTCCGTAACTGCTTCAGGCCTCGATATGTGTTTTTATATGTATCCGCAAACCCTGACCTTCTGGGACTAGACCTCTCTTATGCGCTACAGTCCAAGATACACACGTCATTGTAACAGCCCTGCACAAAGTCGTGTAGTGCAGGAAGTTTGTCGCCGATCCATCTCTAGTTGAGGCCTCGTCTTGTAGTCGTGCAGTCCCCTTGTTACTCCAGGTGTGTAATGCGTACAAGATGGATGACCAATGCTATAACACCTACAAAGACACTGAACTACCCTAGTGCTTGTGCGTTGTTAAAAATACTGCCAACAATTAACAATATCTAACAAGAGATTACACAATGATGTCCCTAACACTTTTTAGTTTACCGGCAGGGGCTTCTCAATAAAAGTCATACCAAGAATTGGTGTTTAGGCAAAGTGAGTTTATTCTAGACAATGTTACACTAGCTGGTTTGATCCCTAAGTTCGATTCCTGAAATCATGCCAAATCTTTCCATTAAAGGATAGTGTAATTTTTTTTTGTTGGGACATAAAAATATAAAATCTAGAATTCTTTTATAGGACATGTGGCTTTCAAACATTCTAATGTAACTCAAACGGTGGGGTTGGTGTAATATTGTCAGTGTTGTTGGCAAACTTGATCGTGTCTTTTTAGTAAACAATTGTGAAAAAGAAAAAATTGATCGAAAAGGACAATTCATCACATTAGGCCATGGGATGTTGGCTTTGGCAAAGGAACTGGGGCTAAGGTGGCGGTCGGTCCAGATTGGGAACCACCACCCCCAATTGGAGATCAAGAAAATTGACATGTCTCTCACGACTTTCCTAAAAATCTTCTTCTTTTTCTCTATGTTTCTTCTCCCTCCGTGTCCCTTCTCCCCACGCAAGGTATTTGGTAGCCACACTATTAGTTTAGCGTAAAGGGCGTCTGAGGTGGCCGATGGTCGCAGGCTGGAAAATGGCACCCACATTGCATGACCTTATTAACTACTCCCTCCGTCCCTTTTTGACTTTTTGAAAATTTAAGGAAGGGATATTTTTGTGTTGACTTTTCAAAAATACCCTTGATGTGATATGTAAAAGTAAGATGTGATATGTAGATTATTAGTAAAAAGGTATGATGTGATAGGTAGGGTATAAAAAAGTAAAGGGTAAAAGAGGTTTTTTAAGGGAAAAGAGAAGTTTATTTGGGGACAAAAAAAACGAAAGGAGAAGTTTATTTAGGGACGGAGAGAGTATTAAGTATGACCTCCCCCAAAAAAAAATTAATAATCAAGACTACTCCATAGTTTAGACCTAAAAGGCCCTGATAAAATGGAGTAGACCAACAAGCGTAACCAATGCTACAAGGTACTCTCATACATTAGCAATCAATTTGTACTCCATTAAGAGACCACCTTAGAATATCAGCCGAAGAAAGTAACACAAAAGCGTTTAATAATAGAAAATCCAACATCTAATGATGAGACCAAAGCAAGTTCCTTGTGACCGTGTATGAGTAAAGATATAAATGTGTGTTTTCCTCTAATTTTATTTAATCTTTCATTGATTTAAAGTGTTATTAGCAAACAAATATTAAATTCTTTAATACTCTTTTTGTCCCTAAATGATTTATACACTTTGCTATTCAAAATTTGCAGGATCTTTTATTTATTTGTGTATTTTCATTGATTATTTGATGAAATAAAATATTCTTGTCACATCTTGTTTTGTAGAACTTTTGATATACTTTTTAAATATGTAAATTTTATTTTTTATTTATATAGCAATTTTTAAATAAAACGAATAGAAAAAACTTGAAAGTTTATTTCATTTTGCATAAAGAGTAATGATTTAGGAACGGATGAAGAAATATAAATGAGCACATGCTAATTGCATAAAAAATTTATAGAACCCGATTTAGAATATAAGAACTTTGTTGAAACAATGTGATGGGAAATGATAATGGGCATGGGCCAGATTTTCCAAATAATTATAAAGATTGATCAAAGTAGATAAAATATTCATGAAAAAACTGGGAAACTATAGACAAAAGAATATTTGAGACATGTCCACATGAGACCACATGTCATCACATGACATGGTTCCCTCATTATTGTGAGCTTCATGCATCTCTTCCCTTTAAAAGGGAGCATATTACAACCAAGGAAAGGGAGGTCTCTCTCTACTCAAGGAAAGGAAGGTTCTATCCCAGCATAGAACTCGTTTTGATAGGGCAACCCGCCACGATAGAGGCCTCGACCGTAGTCAGAAATTCACTCTGCCTGCATACGAGCCATGTGCCCCTCATAAGTAAGGCGCGTTCGGTCTCAAGTGAACGGTGGGCCTCCTCAAGTGAACTACGAGCAGAATGCCTCTACTCGGTAAGAGCTAAGTTAAGCTCCTCCACTTGGCGGGAGAGTTGATGCTCCACCTCCTCAGAACGAAGACGTCATCTCTGCTCAGTCTCCTCATATGCCTTCTGTGTTGCTTCACTTGCTTGCTGATGCCACTTTCGCTCGAGCTCCTCTTTGCTTTCCGGCGGTGGAGATCGGCCTCCTCCTAGATGGCCCGCTCACGCTCCAGGCACTCCTGACGCATCTGATCCCTGGCCGTCTTCATCTCATCTACATCCGTGACTCGTTTTCTCCACAAGTCTTTGTTCTTGGCCTTGAGACAGTCATTCTCAGACATAACCCGATCGTACTCTGAACGCTCAACGCGGATAGAGTCAAAGGATCAGAAGTCCCCCAACTCCCGGGACAAGGCAGCGTTGCGGTCTTGGAGACAAAGGGAATTGTGCTGGGTGGCAGACGTAGTGATGTACTAGGACTGCAATAAGAAACATTCCACCATGAGTAGATGAAGAAAGACAAGGAGAAGTTAGATCGAAAGACATAAAAATTAAGAAGGGGAAGAGAAGTCCTTGCCATGCGAGTATATCCCTCCAGCATGAAGGGCCAAGCGGGAGTGATGGTGATCCCTCCGGAATTGCTCCATCTTTCCTAGGCAATGTTGGAAGTCCCTTCCGGCCCAAACAGTGTAGCCCGTGAAGAGATGAGCCTCCCAGGTGTAAGGTTAAGGCAAATCGGTAGACGCTGTGTCCTTCTCAAAGGGCGGCGCATCCCCGGCGACCTCCATGGCTGTGCCGGAAGAACCTCCTGGACCTTGGGGTGGGGTGGGGTGGAGCTCCGGACTCGTTTACGGCGAGCTTGAGAGGAGGAAGACCCAGCCTCATACGCGGAGCCGGGAGTAGCAAGAAAAGGGGCCGGAAAGCGGACGTTGGCCCGCCGGAAGCTAGAGTACTGAATAAGCTCTTCGGACTCTAGGAAGGATTGTTGAATATCCAATCCAGGCGACTCTACGAAAGTTTGAGGAGATTGTGGACGGATCTGAGAGGTGACATCTTCCCCGCCACAACCACAGGAAGGGGAAAAGTGCTAAGAAGACTCTGGACTGCAATGGAGCCCAAGGACGTCCACTTAAAATTTGCAGCACACCTAAAGACAGAGAAACCCCCCTTCCAAAGAAAGGGTTTGCAGCACACCTGGATAAAATTTGGGCGCCTAAGAGCCCTAGGAGAAAAGTGATAGAGGCCTTCTTCATCCTCATAGTCATCCACCTCTTCACTTTAATTTGGTGGATCGCTTGAAGAGCAAGTTGGACCGGTTGGTCTCCCGTGGCGGTCCCAACCTCTTGTTGAGGTTGTGCCCGGATGGCCAACTGTTTTATCGTTATTCTATCATATATAGGCAGATATAATATGTTTACACATCTCATGCTAATGTAAATAAATATTATATTCCTAGATTTATATTTAAAGATGTTTATCAGATAGGATAGTGTTTCTCAGCTGATGAGACTAACATCTTGTAATAAATATTTATCTGAATGTCCATAGTCGAGTATTAATGAAAACAGGATATCGTTAATGCATGTGAGACTAGTGTGTGTTGGATGTTTGACTTAGTCTCATAGTCAATGACGGTGTGTTCGCATCCGCATATGGGCAGATATTATCTTGAGATAATAGGATATCGGACTGACCCATCCTAAAGATGTCGCTTGAACTTTTAGTTCATGCTCTAAGCATCTTTAGCGCAACTATCCTTCGACTTGAAGTATTACGTTCTCTGCATATGTGAACCTGTATGCTTTGATGCATTGTCCTAAGCCATATTAAATAAGAATGATATACATGCTTTTTTTTGTATGCTGCAGCGCGTATTTAGAGACGTAGATTACGTACATAGGATTTGTCACTACTCTTTTTAAGAGATTAATGTCTTGTAGGGCCCACTAATTAGTTGTGACTGAGGAAATTGCATGGCCATGCTGAGATGCTTTTATGACGTCTGTTCCTATCAATCAGACTTGATAAATCAGTGAATGGCTTAATGGACACAAGCTGGATTTTATAATCCCTTGTATTAAGTTCTGACATTGAGACAAAGGGATACAATTACACAGAATCTGAGTCGTAGAAAGGTTTTGACAGTGCAAACGTCTTAACTTATAATCTGGGGGCAATAATGTGTTACTAGATACCGCTTATTTCTTATAGTATTCGTGCAGAGCCAATACTATGTCAAACTTTATAAGTGCCTATACGGGTCACACACTTTGAACAATTTAAAGAGTAGAATTAAACAATGGGATAATAAGTAATTTGTATATTTGTAAAATAGTAAAATAAAATATTTTTTAATATAACATTATATATATAAATATTCAGTTATATATATGGGATTGACTCCAGTCAGATGACACCTTATGGTGAGATGACATGCTCCGGTCAGATGACGCAAAGCTCACCACTGGCCACTGCAAAGCTCACCCAGGACAACTACAAAGCTCACCAAACTGTAAGGCAAAGCTCACCATATTTTTTAAACACTTTGATTTTTTTTGAAAAAAAATCAAAGGAATGGATGCTGACTAGACTTTGACCATTGACCGTTGACCATCACCGGCGACCCCCTGCCGCTGCCTGCCGCCGACCACCGCCGGCCGCCGCCGAGCACCACCACCGACCACCGCCGCCGGTCTCTGCCGCTTCGCCGCTGCTGACCAGTGGTTGACCGATGTTGATATTTTTTTTTATTAATTTTTTAATTTTCAAAATTAAAAAAAAGGTGAGTTTTGGTGTTCAAAGTGGTGAGCTTTACTTTATTTCCAGGTGAGCTTTACATATTCCATTGGTGAGCTTTGCAGTGTAATGTGCTGAGCTTTGCATCATCTCACCGAAGCATGTCATCTCACCGTAAGGTGTCATCTCACTGGAGTCAATCCATATATGTGTGTGTGTGTGTGTGTGTGTGTGTGTATGTATATATATGTAGAGTTTGGTTCCGGTGAGAAAACGATCTAATGAAAGAAATAAGAATAAATTATACACCGTTAGATCTGATCTCATGTCAATATTCTTTCTGAATCTACTCAGGGATATATTTGGATTTTTACATCTCAACCGTATCTCTCTCACCTCTCTCATTAGTCGTTCCTGAATCAGCGCCCTATTTCTGGTTCTTTCTCTCAGTTTCCTTTTCTCGCTACCGGAAAATCAACGCATCATCTACACTGACTCCATAGCTTCAATCTATGGTACCTTTCCAGCCTATGGTGTTCGAATTCACAGGATTCACATGAATTTCCTTCCACTCTAGAGTTCATGCATAAAATTTTGGAGGGATACAATTATGGGTTGAGGTATGTGTATTTTAGAATCTGATTATCATTCAGGTGTGTGATTAAAATTTTCATCTACTTAATTTGAATGTATACAATTATAGTGTATGTATTTTAGAATCTAATCCCATGGTTGAATTTGATTTAAACTTTTAAGTCTTCATCTTTTTTCCCAAGATTTCTTGCACATATTCTAGCCTCGTACAAAGGTCTTCAAGTAATACCTTTCATAGTAAATTGTCATATGTTCTACTTGGCAATTTCTATTCTTTTCTATTGGATAAAGTCATTTCATTTTAGGAGGTAGGCTAATTGCCTTGAGGTCGTAGAAAGAGCAAAGGCAGTGCCCAGGTCATAGGTCTAAAGGTCTTTGGAATGCACACCAAGTGTTTGAACCAATTCCCTAAAGACTCTTGCAAATAGAATTGTTGGTCTAATTGTGGTAATGGTCATCTTCTCCCCCCTAATGATCTCCACTACTTTCTTAATTTAATGATTGTTGTCCACGGTGTGTTGTTAGATTTTATATTAGTTTCTCTTAACATAACATTGTGTATCATGCTTACTGCATTGCCAACCTTTTTATGATGCATTTAGGTGGAGCATAATTCTCCCGCACAAGCATTTTGAGGAACTTTGGTAATACAGGTGTTTAGTGTTTTCCATGTATGCATTTTTCTCTTCATGTATAATATAAGTTTTGCACCTTTCATGCGAGTTGACAGATATGGAAGTGCATAAATTTTGTGGTACAATATACATTTAGTTGATTTAAATATTCTAAGACATTATAAGTTGTCCTTTTTGAGATTCATAGAACTTTGATGGAGTCATGTATAGCTCAAAGTGCATATAACGGCCATAATAGTGCATCTTCTCAAGATAAATTTTACATGTCCATATATGCATTTTTCTCCATATATATAATACGGAGTATAATTCTTGCACTTTTCATTTGAGCTGACAAACATGGAAGTGCATAAGTATTGTGGTACACTATATATTTGGTTTATTTAAATAGACATAATAGGATACCCTTTTTTAGATCCATTCAACTAATTTGATGGAGTCATGTACATTTTTTATACGTCCACATCAAGTTTCTATGCATTAAATTGTTCTTTAACTTATTGTTCTAATTTTAAGGCCAATCGGTCAGTTACAGCAATTCTTTTTCGTACAGGTTTTTTCAAGGAAATATCATTTTTATTTCCTTTTAATGCACTTTTGGTTGTTGTTAACGCACCCAACTACCATCTCCGTATTCATTGACTCTCTTCGTTAGCATGAATGCATATATAATATGTCTTAGTGCATATTAACATAATCTTATAGCATTATATTTTATTCTGTCCAAAATTGTGTTTTAATTAAATTCAAAGTAAATGTATTTTGTATATTAAGTTTGATATTGCTCAATTTTTGCATTGCATCTAGCAGAACTTTAATCGATATTGTGATCCCATACTAAGATTTTTGATGCAATGTGATGCAAACTCTAACACACTCTGAGTGTACTGTGAATATAAAATCTGCATGAGTTTCTGTTATTGTGCATTATCACAATCTACATAATGCATTTACGTGAGAAAGAAATACATTCTAATAATAAAGGATAATGCATTCTCAGAATCTCGTAGTGAAATTCATCAATCTTACGAAATTATCCACAACTAAATATGATGCATGAATATATTATATAAGAGATGCATTTAAAAAGTTTTGTAACACATTTGAACATGGGTACAAAACAAGTTGAATGATTTCAATTCTTAAAGCTTAAAATGCATATTTAATAGACTAAAGTGCAAGACGAGAATCTCTTTGAAAATATTAAACCGTTGCCTATTAGCTCAAATGGTAGAGTGGTATGTACTACAGATGTGGGTTCGAATCCTGCATAGGCAAAATATTTTTCAAATTTGTATTATACTTGTTTAAAATAAAATTTATTCTCATCATATACAAATTACTCAAAAGCCATTATTCACTAATCCACAAATTATTAGAATAAATTTTCAAAATAACCGTAAAACGCAAATTATAGTACATATATTTACAATCACATTACATTCATAAATCTTATTTTCTTTACTTTGAAATGTGAGAAGATAGTATCAAAATTTTGTATTCAATATTAGTATCATTAGATAGATTTCAACGAGATATTTCCAACGACATATAATTTGTCAAGGTTGTATTTCTCTACAAAACGTTATGTACAAAATAGACAATGCAATAGAAAAAGGGAAAATTACTTGTATAACACTAAAACAATGCCCCTTTCTTTTCCTAGCACTAGTGTTAGGAAGTCAAATGTTTTAATGGCGCAGGGGTATTGATAAGACTAAAATGACCTTCATTTTTTTCGTAGATCTAAAAAACCGCTCAGCCGCTTTCCCTTCAAGACGTTCGGATCCCTAAAATCACGGCATTTCCTTCGAAGGTCTCTTCTTGTAGAAGGTAATTCGCCTTGAATTTTGGGAGGAAAATAGGATGCGGCTGTCAATTGAGTGTTTAAACCCTAAATTTAGAAAACGCAGTGGGAGAGAATTGAGAAACAGAGACAAAAACGCCGGAGAGGTTGCGGCGACGAAGACAGTGAGAAGTGATAGTGAGTCGCCGATTGTGATGTCGGCGAGGAAGACGACGACGGCTGCTGGAGTTGCTATTGACGACAACACCGAGATTGTTGGCGAAGAGGGCAGTGAAATTACTGTGAAATGCATTTCTGGGAAGGTTAGTTTATTCTGTCTATGACATTTTTTTGGACATTATTCATAAAGATGAAGTTTTTGTTAGTGTTTGAGAAGGAAAATAATGTATTGTAGTGGTGTAGTGTGTTGCATGTTTTGGGTTTTTTTCTGAATGATAGATAGTAGGCAGTGTAGAGGATTTTGGGATTATGAGGGTGGTGTCCTTTGAATGTGCATATTATTAAAGATCAAACATGATTGAGTGTTTTTTATGGAATTAAAATCAATTTCATGAGAAAGTAAGTGTAGTGTTTCATTAGGGTTAGTATACTGTTTCTTAATGGTGTTCCATAATGGTCACTGGAATGTGCTATGTCAATGTCAGTTGGTCAATGTGTTTTGTTATTGTTCAGTGTATTATGTATACGGTTAGTATGAAGACTAAGGTTAATTTGGAGTGAGAGTTTAAAAACAGTCTAGTGTTCTTGGTTTTAGAGGACAGTGGTGTTTTTATGTGCATGGTATTAAAAGCAAGGGATCATAATGGGGTTTTTGAAAGGGTTAATATCCAATAGACTACCAAGTAAGTGTAATGTTTCTTAGGGCAAGTGTAGTGTGAAAATGAGTTTATTTTGTTCTGTTCCGTATAGTGTTTGATCTATGTCACTGTAAAATGCTATCTCCATGTTGGTTGTAATAACAATTGGGTTTTAATGACCAGAGTAAACCAGTGCAGTGTGTTGAATATATTGTCAGTGTTTATTACTTCCAAATATGTTGTCAGCAGGGCAGTGTTTTGGGTATTAGGGAGGTAGTGTTAATTGAATGTGCAACGTATTATAGACTGTGCTAACTGCTCTAAAGGAATGAACTTTGGTTAAGTGTGTTTTGTGTATTCGTAGAAGATTATGTCTGTTTTTTAAGTGTGCTGTGACATGGGAGATTATGTATATTTTTTTTTAGGAATACCGAAGGATGTGCAGAGAAGACATCTTGGCTTCCAAGACAAACGTCAAAGCTAATTGTTATTGCAATGTGTTGAGTGGGGTCGAGAAGCTACGGCGAACATTGTCAGAATCGGAGTTGGAGGCTTTGGGCAAGACGCCCTTTGGTCATTTGCTGGATGTTGGCAATCTTAAATGGGTTAATGGACAACTCCTAATACTTTTAGCGTTGAACTATATTTGGGGGTAGAAGTGTTGTGACACGTGATGAAGTGCGGGTGGTCTTAGAGGGTCTAAAGGACAACAAGAGAAAAAGAGGGATGGATGGCGTGAAGATAGGAGTCCTTTACCTTCTGGGCAGTCACATAGTTGGAAACCAACCCTCCATGAAACTGCCACCACTTTATTTGCATTTGGTAGATGACTTGTCCCGTTTGAACGCGTATCCCTGGGGCGATGAGATTTGGGATCTTTTGGTTGAGGACATGGCAAAGTGTTCATTGACTTTGAGGACAAGTAAAAAGGACCGGTTCACATTCCCGGGATTTTTAATGGCTTTGCAGATTTGGGCATTTGAGACATTCCCAGGTCTGGAGAAAAGGGAAGTGTGCGAGATGATAGAGAGTCGGAGAGGCAAATGGCCGCGTGCTTTACGATGGGCAACACCAACACTGACAAATCACATAGTGTTGGAGGAAGTGATCTTCAGTAATGATAAGGTATGTGCTTGTTTTTCGTTGTTTGACTCCTTTTTTTGTGTTTTAAAGGTATTCTGGAATAGTACTTGGACAGTAATCATTTTTTGAGCTTTTTTTACAGTTTGAATGGATTGGCATGAAGGCAACTGCCTTGGAGATTGGGAAAGAGAATGTTAAGTGTCTCTTTTTAAATACCCCAATGATTGAAGGAGATGGAAGCCTTAAAGTACTGCAAGTGTGTGATCAAGGAGCCAATTCCAGGAGTCTTGAAGGCCCGCCCAGTAATGAGCATGGTGGACAAGAAGAGGGGGGGATCCTTGCGGAAGGAAAGAATACATTTCATTGGGGGGTTGCTTGTGATAATGGAGGAGAAGCCCGAAGTACTAAGCATGTTGGTAAGAAGCGTAAACCCAACATAAGGAACCTGAGTCAAGGCGAAAAAGGGAAAAAGAGGACATGTGGCAAGAAAGGTGATGACAAGGCAAGGAAAGGGGTTAATGAAGAGTTGTTGGAAAAAGTCACAAAACTGGAGGAGATGGTTACTGGTCTAGTGGCAGCAAATGTGTTGGATCGCAAATTGCTTGTGAGCTTGCATGGGAAAGTGAAGGGAATGCAAAGAGCACATGAGAGGCATGCAGTTCTGATGGACAGATGCTTGAAGAAGTGTGGTTTAATACGTAGGAGGAAGAAAGGAATTAAAAAGAGCAGACAACATGCTGAAGATGGTCCTAGCTTTGACCTAGGCATTGAGCATGGAGGTAATGAGGATTCAGCAGCTGATCAAGAAGAAGGTAGTGAGGACAATGTAAATTTAGGTGCATCTGATTATGAGATAGAAAACCCTACCCAACTTAATGACTTGGATGACACGATTAATTCTGTTGATACACAAATTCTTTTGGAACGTTGTGCTGTCATGGTACGCAATATTGTGCGTGACAATGGGGGGGATGTTGGACATTATAGCGCGGAAGAGACTGTAAGGGTAAGTTGCACTGATTTCGATGATATGAATTTCATTAACTTATGTGAATGGGAATATATGTATAACATTGATCTTTGTATGTGAAAAGAATGTCATTCATTTTTTTGTACACATTTTTTAAATATCCAGGTGGAGAATCATGTGGAGAAGATTGCTAGTGAGGACATGAGATCTGGGGATTCCAATGTGCCTATCGCTATCCTAGCTGAAAAGGAGGGGGTTAGTATATGCTCAACTACCTTATAATAACATGTGGTCAGTGTGTAAACAAGACCCATGTAACATGTGGGCAGTGTGTGTTAACATCCTCCATTGTGACTAATAACAGGCCCCATGAAACATATGGATAGTGTGTGTGTGTTAATGGACATAGGACATTGCGTATACATGGGCAAAGTGAAGGGTAGTGTGTATATTAATATAAAATTGGAGATTAATCACAGTCCCCCTGAAGGGTATGGACAATGTGTGGGATATGTGTTATGGACAGTGTTTGGGTATGCCAAACTTCAGGGACAGTTAGTCAATCACATAATTGGCTACGGTTTAAGTAGTGACCTTAGGTAAAATAGATAGGGGACAGTATAGCCAGATATAATTTTATGAAAATTAAAGTATGTTAGACGGTTCTTTAAGGAAATGCATTTACGCACTTATTTTTTGAGTCATTGGTGTGGAGTGAGATATGAATGAGGAATTCTCTAATACACGTGGCCTGTATGCGTACAATATGTTAAAACCGTTAAAACACTGTGGGTGGTGATGGAGGGTTGAGCTTTTTTCATGTGCGTGGATTACATTAAGTGACATGCTCTTACTCTTTGATGGCAGATTCAGGTTCTTGATAATTGCGGCAGTCTACAAGGTAATGCCGTGGGGATGAGTGTGGGAAGGAACGGAGTCACACCAACACAGCTGAGTGAGGTAATTTTTTTAATGACATTAGCTTTGAGGAATATGATGTGAAATTTAAATTCAATTTAAATGCTGCCCTCTAAAAAGTTCACACTCATGTTATAGTTATTTGAAGGGGTGGATTTTGATGATTGGCCAATGGGTGATCAGCAAGTCGCGCAAGCCGATACGGTAGTCGATGATAGTCAGACAGAAAAAGCGAATGAAGAATCGATCCATTGCACACAAGTTGTTGTGAGTAGCAATGCGCTTTAATTACTGTTTTCATGTGTTGTAAATATCCTATCAGATAGTAATGTGTACATATTTCTTAAATGATGTGGAAGGAACACAACCCCAGAGGGCATGGTGATGCATATGACCGACCAAAACGGAAATTGAAATCTCCTGAGAGGTTCACTTTTTCAGATAAAAAAGCTGGTGACCAACGCAAGCAGGCAAAAAGAAGGGCCGATGTTATTGAGAGTAAGTCAGTATGTGATGAACTGTGCCTCGGTCCTTTCACCAAGGAGCCGATGGAACTTCCTGAGGTAGGGGTTTTAGAGAGGGTTGACACCTTCATGCATAAGGGTCTGCTGAAAAAGCCAAAGAACCCTGGACGGAGATACACTGCTACAGATGAAAAGCTCAGTGCAGATGCTATAATGGCGCTTGATGATGAGGAGGACAGCTTGAGCAAAACATGGTATTACAACCTCTATTTCCCTGATGGGTGCCTATCATACCTGGTATGTCAAATCAAGTAACGTTCGCTTGTACTGTGTAAAACTATATCAAATTGTTTTATAGTGGTGAATATAGTTTGAAACGGGGGGGTTTAAATGGTCAGTATGGGTGTAATGCCTCGTGTTTTTTAAGGGTGATTATAGTATTTTTTAAGGGTGATTATAGTGCATTATTTTCATGGTGTTTAAAAACAAGGTTCAGAGAATCTGTGGGCAGTGAACATGATAAAGTTGTTGGACAGTGTTATTTGTGGTTTTAAATAATGAGTACTAATTGGTGTGTACATGTGTCTATTCGAACACTGATTTATTGTTCTTGTTTGCTTATGTTTTCTTTCTCTAACCTTGTATGGTACCTTGAGTTTATGGTATCTAATGATTTGTAGTAAAATTCTTTTTACTGATGGCAGCATATGAGTGTGGCATTTTATTTTCTGCGGAAGAAAGCCGCCGACTTTGGTCTGGAGCAGAAGTTTGCAACTACAAGCCCAGCATTTGTTGAGCTATTGTGTGTGTTATATGAGCGTGTTTTGAAAAGAGAGATTACAGATTCTGATGCAGCACAGAATTCAGACGTATTGAACACCATCAAAGGAAATAATATGGAGTATGGGCGTGCGTGGTCCGAGGCGGATTTTGTGTACATGCCACTGAACACAGGATCCGAATGGGTACTGCTTGTGGTTGACATACGTGGAAAACTCATCCGGGTTTACGACACGAATGTTTACAGAGGGGGGTTCTTGAAGAAATTGCACCCATTTTTGCCGTCTTTGCAGATGTTTTTGCCAGTTTTAATGGGTAAGTTGGCGGTATATAAGGACAGTACGGATAGCAAAGAATCTCACACTGCGTTTCCAGTTGAACCTATCTTGGAGTGTCCGCAAAAAAAGGACGGGTAAAACTTTTATACCCTGATATTGTTTTTTTGGGTGTTACTGTTGTCCGTTAAGTAGCAAAGTTCACTTAAAAACTATTTGAAGGATAGATGAATTTATAAGTGCATTTTACCGTTTCAATAAAAGACCAAGCTCCGGAATTTTTGTGATGAAAATGGCAGAGCTTTTGATGATGGGGAGAGGAGTGATTGAAATCAAGCCAGGACAGATAAATACATATCGGAATAAAATTACTGCGGACCTATTAATGTATGCTTCCTTTCAAGGACTCTAAATGCTGGGCATAGCAGGGTTATTTAAGTGAATGCATGGTTGCAACCGTCATGGAGACTTAGATCTTTGATACCCGCTAAAAAACAGAATGTTATCTTTTTTTCTTTTCTATGTCTTTTTTTTAAATTTGGAATACTTGTAGTTTTTTCAGGTAGTATTGAAAATGTTAACCGGTTGAGTTTTGGATATCAAATGTTCATTTTGTTAGTAGAAGCGTGGTTATTTTAGAAGAAGCATAGTGAATATTAGAATGGTGGAACAATTACAAGCTGACTTAATGGTGAGTATAGTGTTCTGTAATGGTCATTACAACGCGCTATATCCATGCTGGTTGGTCTATGTGTTTTGTTAATGGTCAGTATATTATGAAATGGGTTGTATGACCAGAGGAGATCAGTGCAGTGTGTTGCATACATTGTCAGTGGTAATTATTTCCAAAGTGTCAAAAAACATATTTCGGATAATCTAGGGGCAGTAACATATGATAAAGATGTGGGCAGTGGTACATGAGAAAGTTGTGGGACAGTGTTATATTTGGTTAAAAAATTTGTACTGATTCTTGTTTACAAACTTCTATTACTCCCTCCGTCCTATAATGATCTTCCCGGTTCGCAAAACGAAGAAAAATCCCAAGTTTTTTCAATCTATTTTATTTAAATATTGGTATACAAATAAAAAATAAAACATACATATTTAAAAACTACATCAAAAGTTCAACAAAACAAGTGGTGACAAGAATATATTATTTTATCATATAGGCCATGAAAAAACACAAATAAATATAAATTCCCGTGAAGTTGGAATAGTGCTCTGGGAAGATCATTATAGGACGGAGGGAGTAGAACAATGATTTATTTTTAAAACTATACATAGTAATTCACACTAGAAAACATTAAAAGGACCAAATATGTAATGAGGTTTTATCATAAAACAAATTAAGAAGAGGGCAGTACTACTAATAAAAGTTTGTTCCTGTGGTCAAGCAAAAATAGAGAATGACACTAAACATGGCATCCAAAAGCAGCTAATAAAAAACCGTTTAAAAGTGAAATGCATTTCTTCTGTTAAGGAACCTAAAACTCTGTGGTGCAAGATTGATTTTGCTCACGAACAACGTACTGGAAGTGGATTAGTACATGTTTTTTTGTTATGTCCGGACATTGTGCAACGTGAACAAGTCTGCCTCCTCCTCTCACCATTAGATGGAATCCGTCTCTTTTTTGGCCTTCCTGGTGGACGTTTAGTGCATGAAGGCGGAAAACATGGGATAGTGGCGACTTCATCAGGGACTATCCATGAGTCTCTAGTAGGAATTCGGTGTATGACTCCATTATACACAAGTTTCCACTCCACACTTGTGTTGAATGGGGACATGTAGTCATAACATGATAAGCCTGGTCTATTGCGTATTGCGGCAACTGAATGAACACAAACAAAGTGATCTAGTTGAAACTCTCCACACGTGCATTTCCTCTCATGGAAATTGACAACATAAGACCTTCTTTTTTTATCAACAACCAAGTACTCATATGAGCATGACGGCCGAACCTAAACAAAAAACGGTAAGAAAATGATTGTACGGGAATAGCAAAATGATGTGATTAAATGAATATGAATGTGAAAGTGTATCGTCATAACCGCAGATGCCACATGTAGAGCAAGTAGATCAGATTCACATTGTTTGGTCAAAATAGTAGATGTTGAATGAGCAAGTTCCCTACGATCGTGAAACCATTTTTGCATTCGTCCAACAATGAAATCAACAAGCTGAGCAATAGGGTATTCCCAGGGGGTCGCATTAACACTATTCATGGACTCCGCATTGTTCGACGTCATTATGGAATAGCGGTTCACATTGAAACATGATCTGGCCCACTTCTCCATGCCAATGGAATATAAATATGGTCTAATCCTCGGATCCTCATCGTCTAGTGGGCTCAGGTACCGATCGCAGTAGGACTTTGTGGGTGCGCGTGCAGTAGTAAAAAATTTCCATCTTAGTGCTTTCTCAGAACCATTGAATTGTGATTTAATATTTTCCAAAATGTGATGAACACAATGACCATGAGGAACACGAGGGAAATGTGCCTTAGCAGCCTTGATGATCCCACCATGACGGTCAGATAAAATGTATTGCACTGGTCGTATACTGAGGGCTTCCTTGAGTTTTAAGAAAAACCAATCCCAATTTAAGTCATTCTCAGCATCACAAATTCCAAAAGCCAAAGGAAATATTTGTTTGTTGCCACCGTGAGCAACAGCAGTTAAGAGGGTGCCCTTATAATATGATTTCATGAATGTACCATCGATAACCAAAACTGGGAGGCAGTGAGCCCAACCAATCCTCCAAGCCGACAGAGAAAAAAACATATTTTGGAAAACACCTTCAGGAGACCTTGTGATGTCTATCAACGAACCTGGATTTGCCCGGTCGAGCATGTAACACATGGCTGGCAGCATGGCGTACGACTCTGCATCACTACCGAATGCAAGCTGCATTGCTTTCTTCTTAGCAGACCATGCTTTCTTGTGTGACATGGAAATGCCGTGATCCCTACACATGTCCGTCATAATGGCCTTAGGCGGGTATGGTTTGTTGGTAGCATCACTGTACTTGTATTTGACTAAATCAGCAATGATATCATACGTAGCTTGCCGTGTTCTACCCTGGCGTGCATCGATTGGGCATTGATGTTCATGATTATACCTGAGACAAGACAGCATAACATTAAGTGTAAGTTGATTTTTACCTTGAGAGGTGAAGGACAGTGTCTACTCCATTTAAAAGTGCATGATATTTACAGACCCCATGGAGAACATGGACAGTGTGTGTGATAACCTGGTGTAGACAGTGTGCTTGGCATACTCGAATTGAAGAAGGTTTGGACAGTAGCCTAGAGTAACATACATATGGGCATTATAGTGTAATAACAAGTTATAGAGATTATAATGTGGGCAGTAAGTGCGATTAAGTTCAATTTTTTAGCACATTAAATTATAAAGACAGTGTGTCCATATAATATTGAGACAGTGTGTACATTTAACTTTGTGACAGTGTGTCCAGGTTAATTTTGAGACAGTGTCTGTATTAGAGTAGAGTGTTGTGTATTGCAGCGTGTATTGCAACATATACTTAATGATATAATTGTTGAGAAAAAAACATATAACAAATCAATTTCGTGGATGCATCTGAAAATGGAAGAAAAGCAACAGAATGTCGCATAAAGTGTGTGAAATATGGACATGTAGAATGCTTTAAGACTAAGACGTACCTACGGATTTGGAACATATCCGTGCGTGGTAATCGAACTGCCCTAACAGCCCAAGAACAGCACCTGTTTTCCACACAAACGACGTGGAGAAGCTTCTTGGTCGACCTCTTAGTATGGAACTGGAATAGGTTAGAGATTGCCAACATTTTGAGATGGTATATTAAATCGCCTTTGTTCTCGTAAATCGCATCCAACTCAATTTTAGTTGGATCAAAGCGAGTTACAACTTGGAAATCAAGGTTGGTGCAAATATCATTTGCAGACAAGACAACCGTAGAATTGTCATCGTTATCCAAATTTGGTTCACGTACTACAATGTCCATTGTGTATCCACCATTGTCCCTTTGGTAACTTGAAGGGCAGTTAATCAAAGGGGAATCCATTACGTAATTAGTGGACTGATGTGACGATGACACGGAACGTTCTACGCTTGCAACATCATTGCTCTGGTCAGATAACGAATTGAAACTTGATGGAGTCATACACAACGTTTGGTCATTTGGAAGAGAAGAGCACGTACCTACATGCGTATGGTAATTGTGAAAAAGCTCAATACACATAGGCATTGAATCCAAATCCAAATCCTGCGATTTCATGGTAAGGTATGAATCTAAGCTTTTGTCGTCATCAATCAAAACAGGGTGGGGGGACGAATTGCACTTGTATGAAATCTTTAAAGTAGTATGCTCATTAACTTGGCCAAGTAGCGAACGAACGGCGTCAATAAGCATTCGAAAGGAACTCTCGAATGAGATGATGAGTTCATGAAAACTTTTAGACCTGAATGAGCCATCACTCGTCCATTCACCATCTAGGCACAACAATACACGAAACACGGGTGGCGCTGGATGCGTCGGCATGGATACCGAATTCAGCAACGAAGAAAACATGATAATGAGATGGGTAATCGATCCGGCAGGAGAGAATGTGGCGAGATTAATTTTGCCAGAGACGGTAGTGGATGTGGCGATTGAGGCGCATGTAGAGTGGCGCACGATCAGGAACCGGAAGGAGGTTTATCGCAGGGAATCAAGAGGGCAATCAGTTTATTCCTGAAAAATAGGGATAATTAATGATTTGTTTTCCAAAAATAAGTAAAAATTAGAAGGAATGAGTTTTAATGGGCTTTGGAGACGGAAGGGTATGCACGGTATTAGGGATGAAATTTAGTGCTAGAGAGAGGAAAAATAAGTAGTGGTGTCATTTAGGTAAAACACCTATGTTTTGGTGCTCTCTTGGGTAAATTTCACATAGAAAAACAAACTAAAATGAAATTAATATTATAATATAATATATACACGAGAAGGGTGGATTGCGGCTCATTAAATAAGTATTGTGCCTTTACCTTCATGCCCTCCGTAAACAAATTGAGCCTAATTTTATGGATTGCATTTATTGACTTCCTTTTTAAATTGTGGTGTTTAATGAATTTGTTTTTTTCTTATAGCCGCACGATCCTTCCAATCCAACGCCTATTGTTCATTCTTATTTCTTTCATTATGAGTCATTCTTACTAGAACCCACCCCTATATATATGTGTGTGTGTGTGTGTGTATATATATGTGTGTGTGTGTGTGTGTGTGTATATATATATATTATATTGAATATTTTATTTTGGGTTGTCATTTTAATTATGAAAATAATTATTTTGACATAAACTATTTAAAGTATATTTGTATACTTGTTTAAAAAAATAATCCCTTTCTCTCCTTAAATAATCACACGCCACTCTCATCCCTTTTTTTGTAAGAAAAAATTAGGCTATTAATTTAAAGAGAGAGAAAGATTTTTTGGGGTTCCATTAATATCATTTTGTGTATATAGAAAATATTTATAATATTTTCTAAATATTATTAGAAATATTTTCTATTGAAATATACAAGATTATTATCCCAATTTTAATATTTATATTTTATACTACTATAATCTTTACTAGGATAAGGATTGTAGTAGACTCCGGCATTGTTCGTTTGTCAAAGTTAGAGACCAGACGCTTGAACGATTACGTTTGCACCATCAACGCTAGGGCTGTTCACATTTAGGTCCAGATCGAAAAAACCGACCGAACCGGACCGTTAGGTCCAGACCGAATGGATTTCGTGTAACGCCCCAAAACATGGCCTAAAAGTTATTTACTTATTTTATAATAAAAGAATTTTCAAAACAATATTTTGACCCAACAAAGTATAATTTCTATGTTTGACCAAAAATAAAGAAATTTTTGGAGTCAATGATTTTTTGTTAAAATTGAGTTTTATGGATAGGTTTTGAAAAGACGAATCCAACGGTATATTTTATGAACAAATCTAATGTACGGATTTTGAGCTGTGACATTTTAAATATGTAATTTGTATAAAAATGAGAAGTGGTTAAAGATGTAAACTTTTGTAAAATGATATATTGAAACAATTTTTTTTAATTGAATAATATTGATTGAATATGAGAGTAGTTTTAATTATATGTCAATTAATTCAATTTTGACTCTGTGAAAGTCAACACCCAAAAATGCGGTGTCAGAAAAAGTATCTCAAAAAAATGTGAAAATTATATTGTTGCATAGAACTCGACTTTTTGATCGCAACGATGTAACCGGATTTTAATTTGGAGAAAGTTGGACAAAAAAGTATACCCTAATTGGGGAAAAAAAATTGTCATAATCAGATAAAAATCAGTGGAGACTGGAGATCGTCGCCCAGTCCACTATGTAGATTTTCGATCGAAGCAAGTGGGATTACACTCCTCTCTCCTTTGGCTCCTGCCTCTTCTTCTTGGCTATAAAGAGGTGCTCAAATCTTCTTCAATTCTCCACCAAACTTCTCCATTCTTCTTCTCATAGTTTCATTAGAGTATAGAGAATAGACCGCAAGCGATCGCCACCAACAAAGTCGCCGGAGGTAGCCACGATTCTTGCCGGAAGTTGCCCCGAAAAGTTAAATGAAGAAAACATCCCCTATGCAAATCAGCCCACTTGTGAGCATTTTTACAGCCTCTAAACGTCGTTATTTTAATCTGGTTCCTAAACAAAAGTTGTAGCCTTATGTCTAACGAATCCGTAGCTTCAAACGGTTTGCAATTTCGTTGAGTAACGAAGGCGTTATGGCCCGAAACCAAGGGCTAGTACAGTGGTGACGGAAAGTGACGAGTTTTAAGATTTTCGGCGTTGTTTCCGCTTCTGTTCGTTCATTGAGCTTCATCATGTTGATTTCCAGGTCTGTACCATGATTTTAAACAACTTTATAAGGCATTGGAATGATCCTTGAACTTATTGATTCATATATATTTGAAAATATAAATATTTTGATATTCATAATTACCAAAATTGTTTTGTTGTTAAAGGTTCAAATAAATCATTTGTGAATGATCTATGAACGTTAGAAAACATTTTTATGAAGTTAGTTTAAAGCTTAGAAGCTTTTATGGTGTTTTGAGAAATTGGATCGAAGGTTGAAGATGGTGAATAGTAACTCCGTTTTTCCGGTGTTTTTCATAGCGGTACGAACGATCGTTGCGAACATTTTAAGTCCAATAAATGCTATTTTTGAAGATATAAAATCCTATTTTTGATACATCGATAAAAATACAATTTCTCAGAGTAAAAAAATGAAGTTTGGACAACTTAAGAACCTTATATAATGTATGGCAATAAGCTAGGTGTTAACACTCGACGCTACACCGCTATTTGTTATTGATATTATGATGATTATTATTGATTTTATTTATGATCAGACTTTGATGAATATTCTTATTAAAATAGTAATAATTATGAATGATTGAAGAGGATCCGACCCATATATAATATAGTAAATGAGATGGTAAGAGAACCTGTCCAAGTCCAAATAGAGCTGGCAAAACGGTCGGTCAGGTTGGGTTCAGGTTCGATCACCCTGGGTTCAGCTTACTTCGAGTTTGGATATGTTCGGGTTCGGGTTGAGAGCTACATGTTCATGACCCAATGTCATCGTGTTCGGGTCGACCCAATGGGTTATAACTTTCATTTATTTTTTGAATTTTTAAGTAATTTTTATGACCGATTATCAATATTACGAATAAAAAAACTAAATATGCAGAAAATTTTGAAAAAGAGTAAGATAAATATGCGATATCATTAAAATTTTGTATGAAAAAAATAAATTTATACATTAAAAATGAGTAGAAAGCAAAGAAATATAATTAAAATCTTATTTGTATAACATTATATTACATATTAAAGCATATGATTTGAAAAATTCCACATTAGCGGGTCGGTTAGGTCGGGTTCGGTCGGGTTTGACCCATTTTTAACAGGTAATTTCGGGTTCGGTCAACTTCGGGTTCGATGAGCAAAACCTTTTTGTTCAAAACCCAGTATTTTCGGGTCGGGTCTCAGGTCAAAAACAGGTCGGGTCATTTTTTCCAGGTAATGTCCAACTAAAGAAACAGACCAAGGGAAGAGTGGAGATTGGGACCAGAGAGTTGGGCTGGACCCCGGCCCATTGAGATCGGGTCGCCCAAGGGAAGAGATCCACACTGCAAGGGAATTAGGGTATGTCGTCCCTTTGGAAGGACGGACGAGATATTCCTTAGACAGAATTTATCCCTTTGGATAGACAGAATTTATCCCTCTGGATAGACAGAATTTATCCCCAAGTGAGTAACTTTACGCTAAGAGAGGTATTTCTGGGAAAGGGAAGGATTGCCTGGATATTTTCCCAACCACCACAGATATATTGATGAGATGGTGGCTAGGAAAGTTCCTATAAAAGGCGAAAAAGTCCAGTTAGTGGAGGTAACTCGTAACAAAGAGAGACAAATTTGAGAAATAAAAGAGAATATTCCGGTGGTCCTGTAGAGTATTCCGATCCATAAGTGGATAGAATATAGAAAGGACCCCGGTTTGAGTTAATCCATTGTGTGCTGTGTCTTTTCTTATGATCCATCGTTCTTTTCTTCTCACTCTCTTATTGTTATAAGGTCCGGATACTAATATTTAGACCCAGGATCGCCCAACAGTCCGAGGAGAAAATATTAGGCATCCATCGGAGCTTTAGGGAGGAGATTAGACATGAAAAAAATAAGTCTTTGATTAGATATTATGTTAAAAATAGAGTACTAGTTTTAGTTTTAAGTTTTAAGATCTATTTAAAATAATCTTATTTTGAAAAAATACTCCCTCCATCTAAGAATTCTAGAATGCTATATAAGGAAAAACAAAACATAATTTTGAGTATATTAAATTTATTTTATTTAAAGATTGGTATATAAATAAAAAGAGTGTTTACATGTTTAAAAAATACATCAAGAGATTTACAAAATAAGAGGTTACAAGAATAATAGTTTATTTTATCAAATAATCAATGAAACACACAAATAAATCAATGCTCCTGCAACTTTTAAATAGTGAAGTGTGATTTTTTTGAAACGGAATGATTATATGATGAGTTGTATGCAAAAGACTAGATTTTATCATAATTTTGTCCATTTACAATTAATTTTATCAATTAATTTTATTGGTTTGGGAGTGAATTTGATTAGTTTCAAACCAATTCACTTAATATGACTCAACAACGTTAGAGTTTAGTGTAAGCGTTAACGTTTTGAAAAGACTATCAAAAGACAATATTTAGTATTACCATTTTCAAATTTGATCTATACCATTAAATTTAGATGTAATATTAATTATATTAGATTCTATTGGATTTAATTTGATCTAATTTCAACCAAATACATTCAAATAATTTATAAATTTTGTACTCAATTGTATTAATCTCATTCAATTTATCAACTTTTAAGAGTAATATTAAATAAAATTCACTTAATCTCACCTAATTTCACTCAAATTTTACAAAGTTGTATTCAATTGGAGCGTAACACTATTTGAACTTATCTTTTATCTTTGCATTTATAAAGATATTAGTAGATGTGATAAAAATTTGATATATCAAAATTAAATTTTAAAATAAATTTAATTATATTAAGTTTATATCATAATTAAATATATCAGAACCAATCCAAATTGTATCTGAATCGAAATCTATTCGAATCGATTTATGTCCTAACCGACTTGAAACCGAATAATGTATGGAACTGAATCAAATCAAAACCAAAATTTAAGCGATTCAAACCGAACCAAACCGATTATAACACATATCGGAAAGATATCCAAATCGAAAAAATCCGATTTAGATCTGATCGGATTGACTGGATTGCCACCTCTAGGGGTAACTTGGTATCCATTCTTAGCAACTACTGTTATTAGGAGTGAACAAGTACCAAACTGATACCGAAAGTTCTCGAAAAAACCGGAAAAACCAAACCGAAAAACTTCAAACCGAATGTTCAGTTCGGTATTTGGAAATGATGTGAGGTAACATCCCATACCGACAATTCTGAATCGAATGTATATACTTATATATTACAAATATAATAATCTTTTTGTATTTTTCATTGAATAATAAATTTATTTTTAAATTTTGGCTCAAATTTTATAATGTATACATTGTACTTTAATTTGAGTTTTAACTTTTAGTTGAAGAATTTCAAAATAGTAACAAACATTTGAAATATCATCTGTTCACTGTAGTTTGTGAGATATAAACTAAGTTTAATAAGCATTTTTAGCATTTAATTTTTTATGCTTTTTATTTAAATATAGTTTCGATTTTCAAAAAATAAATGTTTTTTATTACACTTTAAAGTTTAAATTAGGTGCGTATATTTTCATCCTGACGTATTCCCCAACCGATACCGAACTATTCCGAACGGACGTAAAATTCCATACCAAATTCAAATATTTGGTGAAGGACCATGCTACACTTACACCAAAAAATATACCACATTTGTACACCACAAGCTTGCACAAACATTTCGATGGTTTACACCGACACAAGTGTTGGTGCGTTAATAAATATTCACACGGACACAAATGTTGGTGCGTTTAACAAAAATTAGTTTTACACCAACACAAAAGTTCGGGTACACTTAATTATCTATCCGTGACTCAGTGCGTTCTGAGCTGGAAGCTGGGAGGGCATCATTTGTCTTTCAGGTATATAAAGAAAGGCTCTAAGGCGATTGAGAAGCACATTTTGATCAGAGAGGCGTCTTGATAAACGCCCTTCTCTATATTTTCTCTCCCATCTTCCTTCATTTCTTCCGAATCCTCTTTCTCCGAATCTCAATAAACCGCGAAAAAAATGAGAGAGTGCATTTCAATCCACATCGGTCAGGCCGGTATCCAGGTCGGAAATGCTTGCTGGGAACTTTACTGCCTCGAGCACGGCATTCAGGTATGCACATTTGATCGTATATACGTGAATCCCTTAATCGTAATCGAATCGTTTGGATATATGTGTTTTTGTTTCGCTTTGTTCGGATCTTCGTTTGTGGGGATTAGATGACCGTCCGATCGTTTAGATCTGCTTGAATCACCTACGATTTTGATATATTCGAACGCATTTGTTGATGGATCTGTTTCCAGACACAGATCTGGAATAGTTTTGTTTGGGTTCTGAAGATTTTTTTCTCCAGAAGGCGAATTATGACGTGATTTCTGTCATGAACCGTGTTTATAAGCCTTTCCTTCATGGTGTTCCATGCCTACATTTTTAATCTGGTATCTCCTTTGTTATGCACAAATACAATTAATGGAATCAAAATCTGTTTGAAGCATCTAGATCTAAATTTGAAACTCTACGTCATCTACATTTTTATTTAAACTTTTGGTCCAGTTTAGTTAATTTTTGTCAGCATAATGGTGCATAGGTCTTGTTTCTTGTCTATATGGTACTAAAGTCTTAATATTTTTTGTGATTTGTCTAGGTTAATGATTATATTATGAATATATGATGAATTTAACCTTTAGATTGGGTAGATCTGTTCTTTCGTTGCTTCTGCTATAATGTCCTAAAGTATTTTCTCATGGTTTTATCTGTCGTAGCCCGATGGCCAAATGCCAGGTGATAAGACCATTGGAGGAGGGGATGATGCATTCAACACCTTCTTCAGTGAAACAGGAGCTGGGAAGCATGTACCCCGTGCTGTCTTTGTTGATCTTGAGCCAACTGTTATTGATGAGGTAAGGACTGGAACCTACAGGCAGCTTTTTCACCCTGAACAGCTCATCAGTGGCAAGGAGGATGCAGCCAACAACTTTGCCCGTGGTCATTATACAAGTAATTTAAAAATCACCTTTTCTCTTTACACCACATATTCTTATTATAACATATTTCAAGAAACTAATGTTGTGTTATTCATTTTCTGTATATGTGCATAGTTGGCAAAGAGATTGTTGATCTGTGCTTGGACCGCATTCGAAAGCTTGCTGATAACTGTACTGGTCTTCAAGGGTTTCTTGTATTCAATGCTGTTGGAGGAGGGACTGGTTCTGGCCTTGGATCTCTACTCCTGGAACGTCTCTCTGTTGACTACGGAAAAAAATCAAAGCTTGGTTTCACCATTTATCCTTCCCCACAGGTCTCTACTTCTGTGGTTGAGCCATATAACAGTGTCCTTTCTACACACTCCCTCCTCGAACACACTGATGTTGCCATTCTGCTTGACAATGAGGCCATTTATGACATTTGTCGCCGCTCCCTTGATATCGAGCGTCCCACTTACACCAACCTCAACCGTCTCATTTCACAGGTAACTGAGCTATGTTATCATTGATAGGGTTGATAAGTCAATTGTGTATGTTGCTAAGGGTATACATGCTGAACATTTTTTAAAAATATATAACAATCACAGGTCATCTCTTCACTGACTGCTTCTCTGCGATTTGATGGAGCACTGAATGTTGATGTCAATGAGTTCCAGACCAATCTTGTCCCATACCCAAGGATCCATTTCATGCTTTCGTCTTATGCCCCTGTTATCTCAGCTGAGAAGGCCTACCATGAGCAACTCTCTGTTGCCGAGATCACCAACAGTGCCTTTGAACCATCATCCATGATGGTCAAGTGTGATCCCCGTCATGGGAAGTACATGGCTTGCTGTCTCATGTTCCGTGGTGATGTGGTGCCCAAGGATGTGAATGCTGCTGTGGCCACAATTAAGACCAAGCGCACCATACAGTTTGTGGACTGGTGCCCTACTGGATTCAAGTGCGGCATCAACTACCAGCCACCCACAGTTGTTCCCGGAGGTGACCTTGCCAAGGTGCAGAGGGCTGTCTGTATGATCTCCAACTCAACCAGTGTTGCTGAGGTCTTCTCCCGCATTGATCATAAGTTTGACCTCATGTACTGCAAGCGAGCTTTTGTCCACTGGTATGTTGGTGAGGGTATGGAGGAAGGTGAGTTCAGCGAGGCACGTGAAGATCTGGCTGCCCTTGAGAAGGACTATGAGGAGGTTGGTGCCGAGGGAGAGGATGAAGATGAGGATGGAGATGATGTTGAGTACTAGAGAGTCATTGCTGGCTGGCTCTCTTTGTTTATGTTTGTTCCGTTTAATATCTACATTTTTTTCTCATTTCGACTGGAGTTGAAGTTTATTTCATTTTCCCCAATGACTATTATCTTTGTTTGTGGTCTGGCTATGACAATCTTATCTTTTATCAGATTACTTTATATTACTATTAGTTACTCCCTCTCTCCAATGTTAATGTTCTCATTGTGTGTTAGGATATTTTGATTGAAGTTATTTTCAAATCATTTTATATGAAAAGTCGTATGGAATTCAAAAATAAAATTTATATATTTAAAAATTATATGAAAAGATTTATAAAATCATAAGTGACATGATTATATTATTTTAATAAATGCGTAACGAAAATATACTAACAAAATTAATAAAGTTTGATCTTGTAAATAGTGGATGTGAACATTATTATTGGATGAATAGAGTATTTTTTTCATTTGCCACTAGGACAGCTTGACAGTATATTACAACTTTTCCGTGTTTGAAGTTTGAACCTAGGTCTACGTTGGTGAGAAATGGAGTAGGCACTAAATCATTGAGACTAGTTTGGGGAAAAAGAAAAGAAAGAAGAGCAATGCTAGGGGTACACCAAAAGGTGTATCCCAAATGTACATCACCCCTTTCTCTACCACACATTTTTATTTGATTTTTATTTACTTATTTTTTAAAAATTTTTTTTTCTTTTTTTAGTGGACAAGGAGGGGTAGGGGACATATGGGATACACCAAAGGTGTACCCCTAGCATTTTTCAAGAAAGAAATATGGGTTTCACAAAACGCAATTCCCTATACATTTCAAATGTTTGATTGTTATAGAAAATGGGGAGGTGAGAGAAAAAGGTTGTCAGACGCGGAGAAATTTCCTCACTTGAACATTTTATACATGCGAATATGGGATTCTTCTTTTTTAGTTTAGAATTTTTGATGTAATACATGCAAAAACATCAACATCACTTGTCACCGACTACTCCTTACGTACAGAATTTTTTTTAAAAAAATTAATTCACATGTAGTACATGCAAAAATCTAGTCATCACTTTTTTATTAAATAATTTCTTCCCCAAATGCATATATGGTTTGCCTTAAAGAATATATAAATAATATTATATATATATATATAATATATATATATATATATATATATATATATATATATATATATATATTGGTTCAGATGAGAATACAATCTTATGAAAGAAATAAGATTGTGAGTTCTAAGGGTCAGAATTGCATCATGTCGAAATGCACCAAAAACCTTTGAAAATACACTACCTCAAAATCTGGGCGCAGGATGCAATCTAAGCCGCATGATGTATCAAATCCAAAGGCTAGTGTTTATTCTTATTTCTTTCATCAAGGTGCATTCTCACCTGATCCAGCGCCTTTATATATATATATATATATATATATATATATATATATATATATATATATATATATATATATATATATATATATTGACTCCAGTGAGATGACATGCTTCGGTGAGATGATGCAAAGCTCACCATACTACACTACAAAGCTCACCAATGAACAATGAAAAGCTCACCTAGAAATAAAGCAAAGCTCACCACTTTGAACATCAAAACTCACTTTTTTTTTAAATTTTAAAAATTAAAAAGTTAATAAAAAATAAAATAGCAACACCGGTCCAGCACCGGCCAGCGGCGGTTGCCGGCGATCGGCGGCGGATTCCGGTGACCGGCAGCGGAGCGGCGGCATATTCTGGTGGTGGCCGGCGGCGGAGTCCGGGACTGGCGGCGAGGCGGCGGCAGATTCCGGTGACCAGCCACCGCGGGCGGCAGAGTCCGACAGCGGTCAGGCGGTAGGCAGCAGTCAAAGGTCCCGGTCAATGGTCAAAATCTAGTCAACACCCCTTCCTTTGATTTTATTTTTCAAAAAAAAATATCAAAGTGTTGAAAAAATATGGTGACCTTTGCTTTATACTTTGGTGAGCTTTGCAGTTGTCTTTGGTAAGCTTTGCAGTGGCTCGTGGTGAGCTTTGCGTCATCTGACCGTAGAATGTCATCTCACCATAAAGTGTTATCTCACTAGAGTCAATCCCATATATATATATATATATATATATATATATATATATATATATATATGTGTGTGTGTGTGTGTGTATATATATATATATATCTGTGTGTGTGTGTGTGTATGTATATATATATATGTATGTATGTGTATATATATATATATATATATATATATATATATATATATATATATATATATATATATAGGGATAGTTCAGGTGAGAATGCACCTTGGTGAAAGAAATAAGAATAAAATCTACCCTTTGGATCTGATGCATCGTCCGGCTCAGATTGCATCCTGCACTCAGATTTTCAGATAGTGCATTTTCAAAGGATTTTGGTGCATTTCGACATGATGCATTTTCAAATCATTTTCGTGCACCTAATTTTGATGCGATTCTGACCCTTAGATCTCACAATCCAAAGCACCAGATTCATTCTTATTTCTTTCATAAGATCGCATTCTCACCTGAACCAAAATCTATATATATATATATATAAATTTTTTTGTTACATATCATTAAATATGTATTATTGAAATTTTTGAGTATCAACATCAATAATATTTTTAAGAAGCAAAGATGATTAAATATTATTTATAATGAACCCAGTTTTAAAAAAGTACACAACATAAAAAGCACATAGAAAAAAGTAGTACAATTTAAGAAACACATACTAAAAAACTACACTTTAAAAATAATTAAAGCATAATTATTAATTTGCCCTACGATCCATCTCTCCCGGATAACGATTTTGCTGACGACGCCCTCGACAGGGAATGTCTTCTAAGGGACGTATCGGTGGCAAGACTTTCCAATCACCAACATTCAAATTTTCTGGAAAAATGAACGGTTCAATCCTACCACTATAACAACTTAAGTATCTCTGAATAGAGTATTCTTCTGGAACAAGATCATCTGCAAGTTGTTGAAAAGAATGATACACTCCATGAACATGCATACAAGGGATTACATCTGCATTCCATTGTCCACACATGCAAAACTTATTAGCCAAATCCACCATATAATTGTACGTAGTACCTAGATCAGAACAAGAACTGTGGCTAACAATATACTGGCAGTTACCATAATTTGTAGCCACCCACTTGTGCTTTGTCTTCTCGCGGTGACGAAGAATTGTTGTAATTTTAGGAGTTGTGCGGATGTTCTTGTGCATCCACTGAACAACAATCTTGTGCCTTTTTTCAAATGATTCAACCATTTTGTTGTAGGACATCTTCAGTATTGCCGTAACTGCAACATCCGACAACCTTTGAGCATATTATTAAAACTTTCTAAACTATTGGTTGTAAGAATTCCACATCTATATCCACCATCATAGCAGAGAGTCCATGCCTCGGGCGAAATATCGTTCAAGTACTTATATGCAGCTTTATCTGCGTTCCTTATTTCTGCCATGTACTCATTACACTGTTCCATGTTGGGTGTGCTCCCAGCGGCCCAAACTTTACGTTTAAGGTCACTGTCATGAAATTTATTCATGAAGTTGCTGCGGACACGCCTTAGACAATAATGCTTGGTTATGAACCTAGTTCGTAGATCAGGGAGATCATGATATGCATTGATAATGCCTGCATGCCTATCATAAATTACACAGACCCGATGCGAACGAATAACTCTTTGTACAAGAAGACGAAAAAACCATGCCCAACTGTTAGATGTTTCCCCATCAACTACGACATATACAAGCGGGAAAAGTTCTCGATTTCCATTGAGCGCCACCGCCAAAAGTAGATGACCCTTGTACTTTCCGTACAAATGGGTCCCGTGCACCGTCACCACAGGTAAGCAATACTGTAAACCATTAATGGCTACCGAAAATGCCCAAAATGCATACTTAAAATGCGGTCCTTCGTCTGGGGTAACATTGAGGTTAGGAGGATGTGAAGAGTAAACAACCTCAACGATTGTGCTTGGGTATGCATTTTGAAGGTTATATAAGATAATAGGGAGGTGCGTGTAAGAGTCCTCCCAACTGCCGTGTAACATCTCTGAAGCATGGATTCAACCCATCTAACATTTTTTATAAGAAAATGCAACGTTGAACTCTTGAAGTAATTTGTGTTGAGTTAGTTTCACTTTGTAGTCTCAGTCAACCCGTACTTTGTCAAGGATAAATCAAGCAATGAACATGTAATTCATATTGTAGTCGTTGCCTTCGTGGGAATAATATGGATGACAACTGTGAACATCATTCAAATACTTCAAGCGCCACGCTCCAGAGTGTAGTTGTTGGGACTGAGCACGCCAAAAACAACGTGGTTGTTTGTCATGGTACCAACATCGACAAGCCCATGAAGATCTTTTCTTAAATGATACCGTGGGATGGATGTAAGGCTAAACAATTCTACCACTATTCAAATTTTCTGGAAAA